TACTCAGCACTAAAAAATAACAAGATCATGGCATTTGCAGGCAAATGCCATGATCTTGTTATTTTTTAGTGCTGAGTAATATTCCATTGTGTATAAATGCCACATTTTTTTAATCCATTCATCTATTGAAGGGCATCTAGGTTGGTTCCACATTCTAGCTATTGTGAATTGTGCTGCTATAAACATTGATGTGGCTGTGTTCCTTTACAGGGACTTTTAATAACAATGAAATATTAAGGAGTTTAGTCAGCCTTTTAGTTGTATTGGTAGCTCACATTTTAGAAATAATTTGTGGAAGTTTCAGCATTAAACTATTGCTTTCAAAGGTCGCTTGACTTTATAGAGTTTTTAAATTTTTGAGCTCAAACTGGATTTTGTCATTGTTCTTATTTTTTTTAATATTTATTTTTAGTTGTAGTTGGACATAATACCTTTATTTTATTTATTTTTATGTGATGCTAAGGCTTGAACCCAGGGCCTTGCACATGCTAAGCAAGCACTCTCCAGCTGAGCCATAATCCAACCCCACTGTTCTTATTTTTGAGCAAGTAGTTAAGCTGACTAAATGTTTTTAAACTTTGATTTATTTTAACACCACCAAAACATTTAACTGAAAGATTACTGACTATACTTGTATTAATTTAGCTGTAACTGTAGCATATACTTTTTCCTTAAAATTGTTATATAGATAAATAATTCTTAATACTAGATGTACAATGGAATCATCCAGGAAGCTATCAAAAAAATAACCTTCCTTTTTAGATTGTTGGGTTGGTAGGAAGGAATGGGGAGTGGCTAGTATCAGTATTTCAAAAAATATTTCTAGGCAATGCTATTGTGTAGCAGAACTGGGAACAACCAAAGGTTTGAAAATATAGCAGACACTCATCAAGAACCTTGTTTTTCAAAGTATTATGTATGGGCCAGAAGCATTAGCAGTGTCTGGGAGCTTGTTTAGAATTGCAGATTCTCAGGCCCCATATAGAATCAGAATCTACATTATTTGAAGGTCTATAGGTATTTCACATGTACAGTAAATTTAAGAACCACCAATTAAAAGTTTCATCTTTGAAATTTTGGGGAGAAATAAATCTTTCCATTCAAAAAAATCATTTCAATGAAATTTATTGAGGTTAGTAAGTTCTGTCTTAGTCCATTTGGGCTGTTATATAGTAAAGCATGATAAATTGGGACTGGATGTCCAAGGTAAGGCACTAGCAAATTCAGTGTCTGGTGAAGACCTGCTTCTTGTTTCATAGCCAACTATCTTTTTGTTGTGTGTCCTTAGGTAGCAGAAGGGAGAAAAGGTGAGGAATCTCTCTTGGGCCTTTTTCATTAAGGCACTAATTTCAAATGCCCACTTCCAGATAGCATTACGCTGGGGATTAGGTTTCAACATATCAATATGGGGTATGGGGGACAGAAATATCTGGATGATAGCATGCTTTCTTGCAGTCTTTTACTTATTTTTTGTGTGAGACCGGGGATCAAACCCAATGTCTTGTGTGTGCTAGGCAAGCACTCTACTGCTGAGCTATACCCCTAGCCCTCACAGTTATGCTCTAAATGGGAAATGTGTGTGGGTGGGGAGTATTCAGTGGTTAAGTAGACTTTGGAAAGACTTCCTCTTGGAGATTCATAGCATAATATATGCCCAAACTGAACAGTCTTGCAGTAAAGAAACTCATGTAACTTTGTTTGATCCAGCCTGTATTAAAACTTAACTACAGATTTTTTTTTTTTTTTAAGTAGCACCAATTAACATCTTAGGAAATTCAGAATTTTTGAAAACTACTCTTACTAACTTTTTAAAATAATTGTATTAATTGATAAATAGAGATTTAGTATTCCTTATCTGAAATTCTCAGGACCAGAAGTGTTTCAGATGTTGGATTAAAAAAAAAATTTTTTTTTTTACATATACATAATGAGTTATATATAGACTTAGGAATAGGACACAAGTTTAAAAACAGAATTTATTTATATTTCATATACATTTTATACACATAGCCTGAGTAATTTTAAACAGTATTTAGTGCGCCTCATTTTGACTGCAACTCATCACATGAGGTTAAATATGAAATATTTTACTTGGTGGCATTATGTTGGCACTCAAGGTTTCTAATTTTGAAATGTAGGATTTCAGATTTTTTGGAATCAAGATGCCTAATCTGTATTGTGCATGAAAATCAGGTTTTATTTTTAAAGATTGTAAAGTAGTTTGATTCTTCATAAAAAATGCAAGTCATTGTACATTTTGACTACTACATTCTTGATTCTCCAAAACTTAATATTGGGAATTTTAAATCTTACGTATATTTTTGAAAATTTATTTGAAAAGAACTGTTTAAATATCTGCTGCTCTTAAAAAGTACTAATTAAGAACTTTCTGTTTTGGATACATAGGGATATCAGTAGTAGTAAAAAATATTAGTTTCTTGCTGAGCGCGGTGGTGCATGCAGCTCAGGAGGATTTTGACTTCAAAGCCAGCCTCAGCCTGCTGGGGTTATGAGTCAGCAGTAGAGCGCTTGCCTAGCATGGGTGAGGCCCCAGGTTTGATCCTCAGCATCACATAAAAATAAATAAATTAATTAAAGATATTGTATCCAACTACAACTAAAAAAAAATAAATATGTATTAAAAAAAAAAAAGCCAGCCTCACCAACTGCGAGGCGCGCTAAGCAACTCAGTGAGACCCTGACTCTAAATAAAATACAGAATAGGGCTGGGGATGTGGCTCAGTGGTTGAGTGCCCTGAGTTCAATCCTAGAAGCCCCGCAAAAAAGAGAGAGAGAAAATATCAGTTTCTTCTTAAACTTATCTTTTTTTAAAAAATATTCATTCATTTTTTTATGCAGTGCTGAGGATTAAACCCAGTGCCTTACACATGCTAGGCAACCACTCTACCACTGAGCTACAACCTGAGCCTCTTAAATTTATCTTTTTATTATAGACCTCTGATACTTCAATTATCATTTGTTTTTACCGGCCTTATTATTCTTGCTGTTTTTTTTTTAAAGTTTTTTTTTTTTTTTTTTTTTTTTTAAGAGAGAGACAGAGAGAGAGAAATTTTTAATATTTTTTTGTTTTAGTTTTTGGCGGACACAACACCTTTGTCTGTATGCGGTGCTGAGGATCGAACCTGGGCCGCACGCATGCCAGGCAAGCGCCCGACCGCTTTAGCCACATCCCCAGCCCTATTCTTGCTATTTTTAGGGCATTCTTTTGGTTTTCCTTCTATTTTTTTTTTTTTTTTGGTTTTCCTTCTAAAGTTTCCTTACGTATAAAACAGATATTGACTTATGAGTTGTAATCCATTTGAAACCTCAGGTATTTCATTAAAATGACCCAAAGTTATTGAATAGTTTTAACTTCCTTATAATATGACCACTAGTGCTTAAAAAAATTCAAAGATGTTTTTTATTACTTTATTTTTGAGTATCAGGGATTAAACTCAGGGGCACTTGACCACTGAGCCACATCCCAGCCCTATTTTGTATTTTATTTAGAGACAGGGTCTTACTGAGTTTCTTAGTGCCTTGCTTTTGCTGAGGCTGGCTTTGAACTCACAATTCTTCTGCCTCGACCTCCCAAGACGCTGAGATTATAGGCGTGTGCTACTGCACAGGCCAAAGATATTTTTTAATAAAAGAGTAAACAAATATCATGTTCATTTAGAAAGTGAGAAGGGAAGAAGACAGCTTAAACTTCAGATACTATTATTTAAATACTCATTTCATTTTATTTTAGGAGCTTGAACGGGAAATCACATTTCAGGGTGACAGTGCTATTTATTACTCCTACTATAAAGATATGTTAAAGGCACCTTCATTTGAAAGAGGTATGAATTTGTAATAACAATATTTTTCTTATACAGATCATTGTTCTTCAATACTGGAATCTCAGAGTATGGGGATTTGTCTCAGAATATAGACATTTCTCCTTATTGTACTTAATTTTTAAAAATTGGAAAAATAAAGCATTGAGCATTACATTTTCAAATCTTTCTTTATAACATTAAATATTTGATGACTAATTAAAGATATGTTTATTTGACTGTTGTAAAATAAAAAAAAATTTTCTGGAGAAAAATATATCTTTGGATTTTTACAAACAGATAAACAATAACAAAACTGTTTTTAGGTGTTTACGAACTGACACATAATAACAAAACTGTATCTCTGAAGACTATAAATGCAGTACAGCAAATGTCTCTATATCCAGAACTTATTGCCAGCGTTTTATATCAAGCAACTGGTAGCAATGTATGTATTTTTGTTTTGATCTTAATATCTATTTTCTCACATATTTACAAATCTTCAAATTATTTAATGTCGTACTATTATCACTCCCTTTGTTGTTTCCATTTAGGAGATGATTGAGCCAGTTTATTTCTATATTGGCATTGTTTTTGGATTGCAAGGAATATATGTTACTGCATTATTTGTTACAAGTTGGCTTATGAGTGGAACGTGGCTAGCAGGAATGCTTACTGTTGCATGGTTTATTATTAATAGGTAAGAAAGGTATTTTTAATTAATATTTATAATTTTTTGTGACAATAGTAGAGTTCTGAAAATGTTCCCTATCCCCCAGATTCCCCACCCTAATTCCCAAGTCTATGAATATGCTGAAGAATCATTCTTGTGATTGTATTATGACTTAGCTTACCACCTTAAAAGTGGAAAATTACCCTGTGGACCTTAAAAGCAGAGATCTTTCTTCATCTGGTATAGAAGGGGAAGTCAGAGAGATTCAAAGCATGAGAAAAATTTGCTGTGCGATTGCTGACTTGAAGGAGAAAATGAATTCTTTAAACAATCAGTGAACTTTTAAGAATATGGCAAGTGCTTGCCTAGCATGTGTGAGGCTCTGAATTTGATACCCAGCCTGAAAAAAGGACTATAATTCTCTGATGAGAGCTGTAGCTCTGAATGATACCTGGATTTTAGTTTAGTGCAACTCTGAGAATCCAACTACACTCTGCTGGCCTTTGTGACATAATAAATTTGTGTTGTTTTAAGTTACTACATTTGTGGTCATTTGTTACACAACAGTTGAAAAGTAATTTACCAGTTTTGTATCTCTCCTTTTATAGAAATAGAAACATTGGCATATATAGATATGTCTCTTCTCTTTCATTTAAAATTAATGGTACAGCTTCTTAGAAAGGAGGAAGGGACATCAAATACATTGCTTATTAAGTTAATTACCATAGATAAGGACTCTATACAAATCGATAAAGTTTTGATAATTAAAGTATACTTTTAATCAGAAGTACACTTCTAATTAATAGAACCATCCCTTTTGTTATCCAAGGAGTCTCAGCTCTTTAGTTGGGGAGGGGGTTTCAATGAGAAGGAAGGCTCATTTGTAATAATAAAATTTTCCTAGTATTGGTCATATCATAATTTATTGTAGGATAGGCATGCTTTTTTTCCACCCATAGCACTTCTACCCCCACCCATAGTACTTAATATGATTACATTTTTAGAAATGAGATGTTTTTTCTGTTATACATTTTCTTTTCTTTAGGCAGTTGTCAGATGATAAAATTGATGCTTTTAACTTTTAAGTTATTGAAATTCAACACTAAGAACTGTATTTCTTACTGGACTTTGTTTATATTTAGCATCATAGGCTGACAATAATGTATTATAAAGGATTTTTTAGATCTTCCTTAGAAGTTTTCAAGTATAGCTATCCAGCTTTGTGGGTAAAGTATGTTTCTTTTTAAAAGCACAGAGATACACTACACTTTATTATTTAAAAGAGATCTATGTATGATGTGGAAAAGGGAGACCAGAAAATATAAAACAATAACTTCACATTTCTACCGCCTAGAGATCACTTATCATTGTTTATAATTGAGGTGTATTCTTTTATATTCTTTTGGATTTTTTCTGTATGAATGTGTTTTTGAATTCTTGTATTTGTATCTATACATTTTTTAATCAAAATGTGATATAGGGCTGGGGCTGTAGCTCAGTGGTAGAGCGCCCACCTCACACATGTGAGGCACTGGGTTCGATACTCAGCACCAGATAAAAATAAATAAAGAGATTGTGTCCATCTACAACTAAAAAAAAAAAAAAAAATTAAAAATGTGATATGTTACACATACTGTTTCATGTGCTAATTTTATTCAAGTATTTACCTTTTTTACTTTTACTTTTATTTATTTATTTATCTATCTATCTATTTATTTATTTATAATGGTGCTAAGGATTGAACCCAAGACCTCATACATGCTAGGCAAGTGCTCTATCACTGAGCTATACCTGCAGCTCACTTTTTATCTTACCTAATACTCAGTCCTTATTATAGTTTACCTGTTTGACTTCAAAATGTCCTATATAATGTGTTCATCTAAACCAGTAATTGATCCAGGACTACATATTACATCATTGATATATCCCTTAATTCTCTTTTATCTACTTTAGTTTTTTTTTTTTTTTTTAATGGGTAAGAGATCAAGTCAACTATTCTGTAGAATGTCCTACTTTCTGAATTTCTCTTGTTGGATCATTTAGTGTCATTTAGCACCCAACCACTGAGCCACATCCCAAGCCCTATTATGTATTTTATTTAGAGACAGGGTCTCACTGAGTTACTTATTAGCACCTTGCTTTTGCTGAGGCTGGCTTTGAACTCTTGATCCTCCTGCTTCAGTCTCCCAAGCCACTGGGATTACAGGCATACTCTGAAAATTTTAGTGGCTTTGATGAGTTCAAAGTAGTTGAGCCAGGCATGGTGGCACAGGCCTGTAATACCAGTGAATCAGGAAGCCAAGGTGGAAGGATCACAAGTTTGAGGCCTTCCTTAGCAACTTAGTGAGAACCTGTCTCACAATAAAATAAAAAGGTCTGAGGATGTGGCTCAGTGGTAAAGTGCCCCTGGGTTCAATCCCCAGTACCTAACAAACAAAAAAAGGTGGGGGGAATAAACAGTTCAGGTTAGAATATATTATATTGTAGATTATTTTTCATGTTAACATTAAAAGTTATATGATATATAGTTCATCCCTCTTGAATATGAGGCTAGAAAATAAACTGTGGTATTTATGACAATAAATGAAATGTTCTTTTAGCTACTAACCGTTTACCTAAGGGTTGTGACATGAGTTGATAATCTTTGCCTAATGTAGTAGTTTTATTAGGGTTTATAAAATTACATTTTTCTGTTTTTTGGCTACATTATTCACTCTTCAAAAGTGTAATTTTTCTTCATAAGCAGAACTCATTGGTTACTTTTAACATAAATAATTATTGATTCATTTGAGAAATGTCTGTTTAATTCATTTGCCCATTTATTATTTGAGTTATTTGATTTTTGTTTTGGTGTAAAGCTTTTTGAGTTCTTTATATATTCTAGATATTAATCATCAGAGTAGCTAACAAACATTTCCATAGATTTTCTTTTCACATTTCTAATTGTTTTCCTTTGCTGTGCGGAAGCTTTTTAATTGGATGCCATCCCATTTATTAACTCTTAGCATTATTTCCTGAGCTTTAGGGATGAATAGTTAAAGAAAATATGGTATATATACACAATAGAGTTTTATTCAGCCATAAAAAATGAAATACGTCATTTGCAGGAAAATGGATAGAACTAGAGAGCATTATGTTAAGCAAAATAAGTCAATTTCAGAAGGCCAAGGGACTGTATTTTTTTTCCTTTTTTTGGGCTGGGGGGCGGTACCTAGGGTTGAACTCATAAGCACCCAACCACTGAGCCACATCCCCAGCCCTATTTTGTATTTTATTTAGAGACAGGTTCTCACTGAGTTGCTTAGTGCCTCGATTTTGCTGAGGTTGGCTTTGAACTGGTGATCCCCCTGTCTCAGCCTCTCCAGCTGCTGGGATTACAGGCATGGGCCATCATGCTGGCTTGTATTTTCTTTCATATGCAGAAGCTAGAGAAGAAAAAGGAAAAAGGTGAGGGTGGATCTCATGTAAAACAAAGGGAGATCAGTAGAGGAAAGGGATCAAGGGGAGGGACTGGAGAAGTGCTGGGGACTGATACTGGCCAAATTATATTCTCATAATGTGTGCATGTATAAATATGTAACAACAAATACCATCATTAAGTACGACTATAATGCAGCAATCAAAAACATGGGAAAGGGGCTGCGGTTGTGGCTCAAGCAGTAGCGCTTGATCGATCCTCAGCACCACATAAAAATAAAATAAAGAGGGAGAGAATCATTTTATTTTTATTTATTTATTTTTTATTCTTTATTCTAATTTGTTATATATGACAGCAGAATGCATTACAATTCATATTACACATATAGAGCACAATTTTTAATGTCTCTGGCTGTATACAAAGTATATTCAAACGATTTGTGTCTTCATACATGTACTTAGGGTAATGATGTCCGTCTCATTCCACCATCTTTTTTATCCCCATGTCCCTTCCCTTTCCCTCCCACCCCTTTGTTTTATCTAGAGTTTGTCTAATCCTTCCATGCTCCCGCTCCCAACCCCACTATGAATCAGCCTCCTGTATCAGAGAAAACATTTGGCACCTGTTTTCGGGGGATTGGCTAACTTCACTTGGCATTATATAATCCAACTTCATCCATTTACCTGTAAATATGATTTTATTCTCTTTTATTGCTGAGTAATATTCCATTGTGGATATATACCACATTTTCTTTATCCATTCATCTACGTTGGTTCCACAGTTTAGCTATTGTGACTTGTGCTGCTATAAACATTGATGTGGCTGTGTCCCGTAGTATGCTGTTTTTAAGACCTTTGGTATAGACTGAGGAGTGGGATAGCTGGGTCAAATGGTGGTTCTATTCTCAGTTTTCCAAGGATTCTTCATACTGCTTTCCATATCGGCCACACCAATTTGCAGTGTCACCAGCAATGTATGAGAGTGCCTTTTTTCCCATATCCTCACCAACACTTATTGTTGTTTGTATTTTTAATAGTTGCCATTCTAACTGGAGTGAGGTGAAATCTTTTTTTTGTGTGTGTGTGTGTGAAATCTTAAGAGTAGTTTTAATTTTCATTTATCTAATTGCTAGAGATGATGATCATTTTTTCATATATTTGTTGATTGATTGTATATCCCTTGGCCCATTTATTGATTGGGTTATTTGTTTTTTTTAGTGTTTAGCTTTTTGAGTTCTTTATATACCCTAGAGATTAGTGCTTTATCTGATGTGCAAAGGGTAAAAATTTGCCATCTCTTTTACTTAGTAATGCACCAATTCTCGTAAATTAACAAAAAAACAAGCAAAAAAAACTTTGTTTTTGTGTGATAAATAGCCATTAAGTTGTAAGAGAGCCAAATTTGGTGATTTTTGGAAAGGAAGTCCCATTGTGGTGTGATGATATACGAAGGATACAAAAAGCTCTTAATAAAAATTGACAGGACGAACTTAGAAGGAACTTACAAAGACATTTCTATATCTTTGATTCTGGAATTTTTTTTTTTTTTTTTTTTGGTATTAGGGATTGAACTCAGGGGTACTCAACAACTAAGCCACATCCCCAGCCCTATTTTGTGTTTTATTTAGAGACAGGGTCTCACTGAGTTACTTAATGCCTAGTTTTTGCTGAGGCTGACTTTGAACTTGCGATCCTCCTGCCTCAGCCTTTATAGAACACAATTTTTCACTTGTGGCTCAGAGCTGCTGGAATTACAGGTGTGTGCCATCGCACCCCACGTCTCTGGAAATTTTAAAGTCTTTAGATGTTGAGAACCGCAGACAAGTCAAGATGGCGCCTGGCACTTTGCCAGAAGGAGTGGTTTGAGAAGTAAGCCAGCGAGCCATTAAGATGATGGAGATTCCTTAATGACTGACTGCTGTATCTAATGATGTTAAAGAAGTTAAGCTATGTATAATTATTAAGATGATGAGGATTCCTTAATGACTGATTGCTGTAACTGGATGATGCTAAATTGAAACAAGCTGTGTATTCAGTTAGGTCTAAATACCTCTGATATCTCATAATAAAACGGCTCCTGCTGTATCAACCTTCACAAGTTGCTTGTCACCCCCCGGTTATTTTGCCCAGCCAGACTTCGGCATTTAGATATATATATAAAAACTACTATGAAGTTAATTTCAGGTAGCCTGTTAATGGAAAACATTATTGAACTAGGTATCAAATGGTATGCATTATAATCCCATTTATGCCACCTACTAGCATACGATTAAGTCACATCATATCTCTGAGGTTCATATTCCTTTGTAAAGGCAAGTAAGAACTTTGGATCTGCCAGGCCACCAATTATGTAATGCAGATTGTGCTCTAGAGAAGGACAGCCATCTGGTTAATAGAAGGGAAGGGAGGGGCAGATCAGTGTGCTTTAGTTTGGGGTAATATCCACCCAGAAAAGGCATGCCGTTTGCACATTCTCACCAAGGCCCATCGGTTCACCAAGTAGAACACAGAAGCATTCTTCCTCTTGGTTGGGGAGTGGGGGTGGGGAAATCGTTAATTTGCCCCAAAATGCTATATAGGTAACCTCACAGTATTGTTGTTGAGAACAATGAGATATGTGTGAAAGTGCTTTGAAAAGTATAGTTTTACACATATACAATGTCTTATTTTGCTGTTCATTTGTGGTTTATTTTAGGGTAGATACAACAAGAATTGAATACTCCATTCCTTTAAGAGAAAACTGGGCACTACCATATTTCGCCTGTCAAGTTGCTGCACTTACAGGCTATTTAAAATGCAACTTAAATTCTTATGCAGAGGTAAGACACAAATCTGATCCATCATAGTTAATTCTGATGTATTACAAATGTGGTACATAATTTTTAAGTTAGTCATAATTAAGTTATATTAAGTTAGGCCCAGATACTACATAGTAAAGGATATAATTAGGTAGTTTTTGTATAATGTTGTTCTGTAATTGACTGACAGCAAATTATTTTTAGGAAAACAAAGATGTTATATTTTTTAATGTAGTTATTAGACAAATACATGAGGAATATCTTATTTTGAAAATCAGCCCATCTCACTGGTATTTTACTACTTCTCTTGGAACTTTACAGATATATAATTTAATTGAATATTATTAATATTTAAAGAAATATTAATGAAGATATGAAGAGTGACCACAGATTACAGCTGTGTAAACTTTGCTGATAGCACTGCATATTCTGTTTACGCACATGTTTTCTGTGACTGAGATGTAGGTAGAGTAGTGAAAGTTTCAGGCGAGCTGGGGTTGTGGCTCAGAGGTAGAGCACTCGCCTAGCATGTGCGAGGCCCTGGGTTCAATCCTCAGCACCACATAAAAATAAATAAATAAAATAAAGGTATTGTGTCCAACTATAACTAAAAAAAAAAGAAAGAAAGAAAAGAAAGTTTCAGGCAATTGTCCCAGATAGTTTAGATTCTTACTTGGTTGTTGCCACAAACCTTTTTGCAATTGAATGAAACTTACAGACCCTGTCTCAGAAAAAAGATTTTAAATGCATAAAATAAAATGAATGTGATTACAAAGGCAACTAGTAGAGACTGACTGAAATGTAGGGATCCTTTGTTCTGTTGATCTTGAGTTAAGAATTCCTGGCTATGAAACGAGACTAGAGGGACTAAGAAAAGGTCTCTATTAAGAGGCCTTTGTCTCAGACACAGGATGCACTACTGGTTCCTTTTTGAAATCTCTGAACAAATACTGTTCTTTCCTTTCAGTGGTGACAAGTGTCCTGAGCTTAGCAAATTTTATTATTTAATTTCTATAACTAGTTTTCTTTGTATGTAAAGTAACATGAACATATTGCAGATTTGTAATTTTCCTTTTTTTTTTTAATAAGGAGCCTTTGAACAAGAATATTTTGTATAGAAGTTACAGAGTCTATAATTGAGTATTTTTCTGTTAGATTATGAGTTATCTCCTAAGGAAGAATAGTTCTTCAGTTTTTGAATAAGACAGTTTAGCACAGCAAAATGCCTATGCTCCTTTTACTACCTTTTTAGGTAACTTCTGTTGCCTAAAAAAGGTTTAATTATTTTAAAAGGAGTTTTTCCTAAACTATATTATTTTTCAGAATATCCTTTTTCATTGCCATATTATTGTGCTATGCATTGTCCTAATTTGTTTCCTTTTTGAGGGGTGAGGGGCACTATGGATTAAACTCAAGGGTGCTAAACCACTGAGCTACATCCCCAGCCCTTAGTTTATTTATTTACATTTGAGGCAAGATCTCATCAAGTTGCTTAGGGCCTTCCTGAGTTGCTGAGGCTGGTCTTGAGCTTGCAGTCCTCCTGCCTCAGGAGAAGCTGCTAGAATTACAGGCATGTGCCACTGTATCTGACCATTTGTTCTATTTTATTAACACAAAGTATAAATTGAGAGTTTTCAGATAGAGGTAGGAAGATCTCTACTCTCTCCTGCCAGTTTCGTCCATCTTCTAGCACAGTAATCTTCCCTCACATGTGGTTTCTAAATCCACCTGGAAAAGGACCTTCTGTGTTTAAAAGAATCCAGGATCAGTTTATAGTTTTATTTTTTGTTTTTCTTTTTTAATTTAACCACAATTCATTTTCGCGCTTTGAAAGTAATCCATAGTATCTCCAACTCCCCACTCTCTTTTTCTCTCTTAATGTTAAAATAATGGGGCAGGAGGGCAGAATTGTATTTATAACTTATATAACTAGCCAGTAACTCATCTGGTCCAGAAGAGTATACAATAAGAGCAACATATCAATATGTAAGTGTTAAAAGGATAAGAATAAGGGTTGTGGATATAGCTCAGTGGTAGAATATGTGCCTAGCATGCAAGAGACCCCGGGCTTAATCTCCAGCACTGCAAAAAAAAAAAAAAAAAAGGAACAGAAGAGTAAGAATATCAAGGCATCTATAAAAAATACAGTGCGGGGGGGGGGGGGGGCTTAACTAAGGTATATTCTTAACTCTTTCAGTTTAACAACCCGGTTTTTCAAGAAACAAAACTGCCTAATATTTCAATTATGTTCATTCTACATCCCTCCCCTCTCTGTATTTTTAGCTTAAATAAGATTCACAAGAAATTACAAAAATAGTATGGAGAATTTTCATGTACTCCTCACTCATCTTCCCTCAATAATAATAACACAATACATTCTCAAAACCAGGATTTGACAGTGATACAGTACTATTAATTCAGGTACAGACCTTTGGATTTCAACAGGTTTTGCATGTGCTCCCTTTCGGGTGAAGGGTGCATAGTTGTATGAATTTTTATCACATATGTAGATTTGAGAAACCATCATTAAAAATCAAGGTACAGAGTTTTCCCATTATCCTCAAGAGACTCCTTCATATTACTTCTTTATAGTCACATGTTCTCACTCTAATATTGTCAATCACTGATCTGCTATCAGCATAATTTTGTCACTTTGAAAGTTTAGAAAAATGGAATCAAGAAGTATGTAACCCTTTGAGATTGGATTGTTTTTCATTATGCTTTGCTCCATCTGAGTTACATGTGTCAGTACTTATTATTGTCATTGCTCAGTAGCATTCCAATCACTTGAACTTTTAAAATCAAATATCTTGTGCTTTTCCTCTCATTCTTGAGTCTAGATCCTGTAATCCCAGTTGTTGCATGAGGTTATACAAGCTCAGATCTTTAGTGCAGTTATCTGGTTGATTACTGAAATCTATTTAATGTGTCACTTATATCACATATATGTGTGTGTGTGTGTGTGTGTGTATACACACACATACATATTATGTACACTTACATCATATATGTGTGCATGTATACATACACACACATACATATGTGCGTGTGTGTGTGTTTTCACACTCCAGGCACAGTAAGGAATACTTTTAAGAAATTGAGCAAGGGGTGAACAAGACTGTACAGAGAACTTTGAAACTATTCAGGGAAAGGAAAAACTTAGCTAAGTGTCCAAATGTGTTTGACAATATTTCTATGTGCATGGCTTATTTTTGCTGCATATTATTTGAGAATAGATTCTTAGCATCAATATTTTTGTTTATTGTGTTGTAGCTTTTCCCCAGAATCCCCAAAGTAATTTCCATATGGCCAGTAGGTTAATTGGGCTGGATCAAGATTTTATCCTTTATTGATTTCTGAAACTGGTTTCTCTGGGGTTGATGGTTTCAAGGCCTGGTTATTATAGTCCTGGTGATTCCACATTAAAAACTTTCCAAAAGACAGTGGTATAACTTTCCTATGTATATGTATGAATACACCATGGTAACTCTCAGCCTTGTGTACATGACAAGACTAGGATCCTAATTAGAGTAAGGTATATTCTATGTTGTATAAATATATCAAAATAGATTTTACTGTCATGTATAACTAAAAATAATAAAACAAAGTTTTCCAGGATACTTTTCCTATAGATAGCTGTGGTGATAGGAAGAACAGAAGCTTATGTGTTTTATCAATGTGGAGCCTTTCTGAACTTTGTAGTTGGAATTATTTGATCAGCAGATGGAATTTTGCCATCACTTACATTTTGATCTCTGGTCTTAATTCACCCTCTCCCCCTGGTACTGGGGACTGAACCCAGGGCCTTGTGAATGCTAGGTAAAGCATTCTACCACTAAGCTACATCCCCAGTCTTCTCTGGTCTTAATTTTTTTCAGGATACTGGAAGTTTGTTTTATCTGCTGATGACTGGGGTATTTCTTACTCCAAAATTTGTCATTGGGTATAGTCAGCTGAGTATGAAAAATTTAGTTTTAATGAACACAGTTCTTAGCCTTCTTAATTGACTTTATTGTCCTGTTCCTTTGATGTTCTTATCAGAATAAGATCATTTGACACTCCAGCCAGTGGAGAAATTGAGGGGGTGCGGAGCAGATTCATAGAGGAAGGAAAGACTGTTGTTTGAAATATGCTACATAACAATGGATTTGTCAAAGACTTGGTTACTCACTAAGGGATCATTTGGGAGATGGCATTGGAAGGATACAATTGATTTTATCCAGGAATATTTCAAGCAAGGGAAATGAAATTCCTGTTTAGTATTTGGTAGAAGAAAACAGCTGAGTTTATATGTTTTATAGTCCAAGCATTGGAAAAGATAAGACCATACTTTTGTTAAAAGGAAATGAAAAGAGTAAAAATCAGGGCTTAGTTTAGGCTGACACATAGATTCTTTAAATGATAGTTTTTAGGAAAATATGAATCTCCAAGGAAATAAAAATATTATTTTCAGAGCGAAAAGAGTTACTTCCACATTTAACAAAAGTTCACTATTCAAGTCTAATAAAAGCCACCATTTTCTTATATTTATTGCTTTACCTCTTTGGGAATAAAGGATATTTGTACTGATTTTTCTTCTTTTATTTTTTTCACTTTGTCATACTGAGATTTTTTCCACGTGATGTTGCCAGGCATGGTACATGCCTGTAATCCCAGCGGCTGGAGGCTGAGGCAGGAGAATCGCAAGTTCAAAGCCAGCCTCAGCAACAGCAAGGCACTAAGCAACTCAGTGAGACCCTGTCTCTAAATAAAATACAAAATAGGGCTGGGGATATGGCTCAGTGGTGGAGTGCCCATGAGTTCAGTCCCTAATACCAAAAAAAATCAATGGGATGTTGAAGGACAAATGGTTGATTTCTCTAGAGAGTGCCTTATTATTATTGTAAGGATTTAGTGAGAATTATGTGATTTAAAAATAGTTTGAAGAATTCATATGGCTTAAAGTTGACCCAATAACAGAAATGTAATTTTGAGGTAACAAACTCATGGGGTTTTATAATAATAAAGCTACTGATACATAGTTTCTTTCTTTTGTTTTTCCTAGAGGTTTTGCTACTTGTTGATGAGTGCTTCAACTTACACCTTTATGATGATGTGGGAGTATAGCCATTATCTCTTGTTTCTTCAAGCAATATCTCTGTTCCTGCTAGATATCTTTTCAATGGACCAAAGTGACAAGGTATGATGACATTTTGAAACGATGAATTTAAACCCAGAGAATACATTTTTTTGCAGTGTTGTGTCTTAACACCTTTCTTTTGTTTATTCATCCCATACACTCAGCTGGTTCAGAATCCTGATGAGTATCAAGATTTAAGTTATTTAAACAGAGGGAATTTAACATGATTTGTTAAACAAGTTGGAGATAACATTCAGTGGCAGAGGGTGTGCCAGGCAAGGCCCTCAGTTCACTACCCAACTCCAGAAAAAAAACCCATACACCCCCCCCCCCCAAAAAAAAAAAAACCCAAAACAGTTATTAAACAAGTTTAAAGTCATTTATTTATTAATTGATTGATTGAAATGGTAATAAGAGGTAATAAGTATCATGAAGGTATTCACTGCAGGAAGTAGCTACCACCATTAGTGCTAAAGGAGTGAAGTGAAGAATATGGAGTTATTAAAGTGCAAAAAATTAAAGGAGGGACTCCAGGGAACTGAAACTCAGGATTCTGAGGAGGACTACTGCTTAGCTTTGGTGGTGTCTCTGGGCTCAAATAAAGGGCCTTTGTTGTTGGAGTTTAGGTCTCTGAAGATAGAGGTTTGGCCAGCAGGTCCTGGGTCTCTAAATCTGGAGGATGTGATGAAGTTGGTTTTTCAAGTGTTGGAACAACTTCAACTGCACTCAGAGCTTCAATAGGAAGGAATAGATGTTGGGATAAAGAAGTATTACATAAATGTGGCTCAGGGGAATCCTAAGACAATAGGAAGCAAGAGGGAAGAGCAGGCTACTCTTTCCTTGTCCAGCCTTGCACTTTGCTTCTAGCGTTTTCTATTGATGAAGGGGAACCAACTGGAAAAGAAGAAATGTAGATGTAGCATAAATGTAGATAAAAATAGTTTTCTGCAATGGCATATTCCATGGCCCTATATTTTCACACACTTGGTTAGGGTAAACAAAATGAAGAACCTTAAAGAAGGTTCTTCTAGTCTGATTTCAATATTTAGGATTTTGAAGTTTCTTACCTTGTTTCTGGAGAGTTCTAAGAAGAAAGTGACAAGGGTATTATAAGCCAAAACATTAAAAATACAAATTAAACATTTCATAACACTCTTAAGTTGTAGTATAGAATTTATGGTACAAATGCAGTCAGATCTATCCTAAACAAAACTAATAAAAAGAAATACAATAAAATTTACTTAATTCTCATTTTATTTTTGTTCCAACAGGTTCATGAAGTATATAAAATCTATATATTTTCTCTCTTTCTGGGATATTTACTGCAGTTTGAGAATCCAGCTTTATTGGTATCTCCTTTATTAAGTTTAGTAGCAGCCTTAATGCTTACTAAGTGCCTTCAGGTAATTAACATTGCCTTTCTATCATTCTTATTAAATTTTTTTTCAGTGGTACTAGGGATTGACTCCAAGGGTTCTTTACCATTGAGCTACATCCCAAGCCCTTTTTTATTTTTATTTTTTATTTTTGGTACTGAGCATTAAACCCATAGGCACTTAAATACATCCCTACTCTTTTTATTTTTTATTTGAGACAGGGTCTTGCTCAGTTGTTCTGAAACTTTCTAAGTTGCTGAGGCTGGTTTTGAATTTGGATACTCCTGCCTCAGCCTCTTGAGCCACTGGGATTATAGGCATGTGCCATTTATTTATTATTTTGAGGTGGGTATTTCTGAGTTTCTGAGGCTAGTCTCAAACTTGTGATCCCCCTGCCTCAGCCTCCCCAGTGACTGGAATTAACAGGCATGTACCACCATACCTGGCAGTTTCTAAATTACTAAGTCGTTTTTCATATTATTTTTTCCCCATAGCTGAATGTGAAGAAAGGAACTTTTATAGCTAAAATAATGAAAGTGATTAATTTTTACTTGGTGTGCACTCTGACAGTGACATTGAATATTATAATGAAGGTAAGTAATTCTGTCTTATTTTCATGTAGTAGAGTTGAAAAATGAAATATATTAATAAATTTTAATGAAAATAATAAGATAGCAAAGTAATAGAGTTTATATAGTATAATTTTCATTTATTTATTTGATATGGAGTCTTGCCGTGTTGCCCTTGCTGAACTCAAATTCCTGTGCTCAAGTAATCTTTCCGTCTTGCCTCCCAAGTAGCTAGGATTACAGGTGTGCACCATCACACCTAGTTATCAGCACAATTTTGAGTCGAACAATGATTATCACTAGCACATTGGGTGAGAAAATAGGATTCTTTTCTTTTCTCCATATACTTTAAACAAAGGAAGGAAGGAAGGAAGGAAGGGAGAGAAGGAGGGAGGGAGGGAGGGAGGGAGCAAGGAAGGAAGGAAATACACTTTGTTTTCAATTTAATTTAAAATGGTTATTATTGGGCTGGGGCTGGGGCTCAGCGGTAGCGCACTTGCCTGGCATGTGTGAGGCACTGGGTTTGATTCTCAGCACCACGTATAAATAAATAAAGGTCTATCAACAACTAAAAAAAAATTAAAAAGAAAAGAAATAAAATGTCAATATTACCCAATTAGTAGTAAGTAATTTAAGACAAATAAAAAATATTCAGAAAAGTTGATTAGTTACTTGAGTCAGGTGGAATAAGGTCGAAATATTCTTACTATCCATTATAATTTTTATGCTTAAGCATAATAAGGTAATATGATTGCTTTTTTCAGCAATCTAATCTATTACAGTAATCTTGCTTCATATTTTTGCCATGTATTATTTTAATTTATATTTTTGTAGTCCTGCTGTATTTTCTGTCTCTGATAATTAGGGAAAATGTATATTGCTATAACTATAGCTAGTATTTCTTTGTTAAACTACTGTTTTTCTCTTTTAGATGTTTGTACCACACAAAGAAAATGGACACATGCTGAAATTCCTTGAAGTAAAATTTGGACTAAATATGACTAAGTAAGTTTTAGATTATGTAATTTTACCTAAGTTTAGATTTTAGATTATGTAAGTTTACTTAGAAAATAAGGAACAAAATACTCAATAGAAGGACAATATACCTAATTATATATTGCTTAGAAAATGAGTAATTTGGGATATTATAATATATAGGGAAAAAATGGGCGTTGCTAAATTGCTAAGATTGATTTTGAACTTTCAGTCCTCTTGCCTCAGCCTTTCAGGTCTCTGAGATTACAAACCTGTGCCATAATGCCTGGTGCTGCAAGATATTTTGATGGTAACCCCTTTAAGACTGCTGTGTCTAAACTAGGCATGGTGGTGCATGCCTATAATCCCAGCAGCTAGGGAGGCCAAGGCAAGAGGATTGCAAGTTCAAGGCCAGCCTCAGCAATTTAGTAAGACCCTCAGCAACTTACCAAGACCCTATCTCAAAATAACAAACAAAAAGGGGGACTAGGGTTGTGGCTGAGCAGTAGAGCACTTGCCTGGCACGTGCGAGGCCCTGAGTTCAATCCTCAGCACCACATAAAATTAATAAATAAAAATAAAGGCAAAAAAAAGCGGGGGGAGTGGGGGCTGGGATTGTGTTTTAGTGGCTAAGTGCCCCTGGGTTTAATCCCTGACACCAAAAAAAACAAAGACAGCTGTATCTGATACATTGTTAAACTTTAAACTTCTATCCTAAATTCAGTGATTTGTGAAGTGTAGGCATTTTCAGTCCATTGAGCACTCCTAAACATCACTTCATTTAGGAATTGAGGATTGGAGGTTGGAGATGGATTAGAAGTAAGGATACATATAAAAATACATGTAACTAGGAGTGTTATTGATCATACTTAGCCTTAGGGTCAAAAAGTTTATCTTAATTCTTATAGCTCTAAAGAGTATAATTCAAATTTTATAATTTTTGTCTTATTAAATAGAAATCACTGTTTAAAATGGGTGCTTGTTGAGTTACATTTATCACTATGAACCATGTATATAATTGTAATTTTCTAATAGCCATATTAAAAAAGTAAAAGAAACAAGTGATTAGTTGTAATAATGTATTTTCTTTAAGCACATAGAAAATATCATATTAATGTATAAACTATAGGAATTGTTGTTAAGTTATTTTGTTCTTTTTTGCATTTTGTTTTCTTGGAAATCTTCAGAGTATTTTTGTATTTAAAGTATCTCTCAATTTGAATTAGCCACATCTCAAGTGTTCCATAGCCTCCTGTGTCTAGTAGCTTTCATATTGATCAATGTAGACATAGAGGTTGGAGTTTTAGTCAACTTTTTCACTGCTGTGACCAAAAGACCTGACAGAACAATTTGAGGAGGAGAAATTTATTTGGGGCTCACAGTGTCAGAGGTCTCAATTCATAAACGACTGACTGGGCTTAAGATAAGGCAGAACATCATGGCAGAAGGGCATGACAGAGGAACACAGCTAAGGACATCACACGAGGAAGCAAAGGGAAAGAGCTCTCTTGACCACAACAAAATATAAACCCCAAAGGCATGCCCCCAGTGACCTACCTCCTCCAGCCACACTCTACTTGCTTTCAGTTACCAGTTAATTCCTATCAAGGAATTAATTCACTGATTGGGTTCTCATAACCCAATCATTTCACCTGTAAATCTTCTTGCATTGTCTCACACATGAACTTTTGGGGGACACCTAATAGCTGAATTTTTTGTTGTCTTCTGGATAAAAATAGAAATCATAAATCCCCCCAGAATTTATTGGGCTTCAGAGATGGTTATATTATTTGGTAATAAAAATAAACAGTTTTACATTTATTGGAGCAGTTGTGATGAAAGTACGTGCTTTCTAGAGGAGGGTTATGAATGTTATCTTTATTTATAAAAAATGGAACCTTGTTATTGTAAGTAAATCAACTTAATAAATATGTTTTGTCTTAGTTTTTACTGAGATTTTAAAAATTACTTTTATATCCAGTACCTTAAACAATTGAGGTTTTAATATCATGCTTTTTGTCTTCTATAGGAATTTTACAATGAATTGGCTCCTCTGTCAAGAGTCCCTCCAGGCACCATCTCAAGATTTTTTTTTGCGATTGACACAATCTTCTTTATTACCATTCTATATTTTAGTCTTAATAATTTGTCTTCTTTCTATGACACAAGTTATTATTAGGAGAATTAAGTAAGTTCTTCTAAGAATCAATCCCATTACTAATATGTTATGGAAATATATGATATTTAAATTTATTTGGTTAGTTAGTTACTTACTGGGGGTTGAACTAAAGGGTGCTTAACCTCTGAACCACATCCCCAGCCCTTTTTATTTTTTATTTTGAGATAGGGTCTTACTAGGTTGCTTTGGGTCTCGCTAAGTTGGTGAGGCTGGCCTTGAACTTGCCATTCTTCTTCCTCAGCCTTCCAAGTTGCTAGGATTGTAGGCATTTGCCACCATGCCTAGCTAAAATATTTACTTTCAATATCCTTTCTGTATGTATGTGGGTGTGTATTTTCTAGTACTGGGGATTGAAACCAAGGCCTTCTGAATGCTCTAGACCCTACCTCTTTTATTTTTGATTTTCTTAAGAGATGGGGTTGTCCTGTGTTGTCCAGGCTGGCCTTAAATTCCTGGAGTTAAGTAATCCTCCTGCCTCAGCCTCCTGAGTAGCAGGGACTTCAGCTTCAGGTATGCACCACCATGCCCTCTAGTTCTATATTTGGTTTAGAGCTTCCAATTCTATTTTCTCTTCATTGGGCATTATTATTGATCAGAAAAATTTATGTTTAGTTTTATACATTTAGATATGTAGAGTCCTGGTTTCATATGGGAGTAATATTTAAATAATAGGTTAAATTTTTATAGACTCATTTAGTAATTTATTCAGATTTTATTGAATCTAAGAATGATTTCTTCTACTAATTGAAATGAACTAGTAGTTTAAGTGATTTTTGAATTGTTACAGTGTTTAACTATTTGTTTATCATATTTGAAAGGTTTTATGTAATTTCTTGATCTTAAGATCTTATTTATATTATTTAACTATATTGGCTTAGTAATCGTTAAGTGAGTCATAATTTGTCTTGGAAAAGGAATTTAAAATTCATATGTAGTCTGAAAATTCATCCACAGTCTTCTTAGAGTCAGTTGTCTTTAGGCTCTAAAAGATATTAACAGGGCCAGGGTTGTGGCTCAGTGGTTGAGCACTTGCATCATGTGTGAGGCACTGGGTTCAATTCTCAATACCACATATAAATAAATGAATAAAATAAAGGTCCATCAATAACAAAAAAATTAGAAAAAAAGATATTAGCAAAGACTTGGAGATATATGCTAGATATTTGACTAGCAGAATAGACTTTCAAATTTTAAGGACCATCTTTTTTTCTTTTTGGGGGGGTGCTACTGGGGATTGAACCCAGGAATGCTCTATCACTGAGCTATATCCCCAGCTTTTTTTTTTTTTTTTAACTTTTTGAGATTGGGTTTCGCTAAGTTGCAAATGGTAGCTTCGAATTTGTGATCCTCCTGCCTCAGCCGCCCAAATTGCTGGCATTAGAGGTGTGCACCACTGTACCCAGCCACCTATAATTTTTTATTATAAAAAGCTTAAAATTTTAAGTATGACTTTCAAAGATGATAAATAGTGTATCTTTGATTTTTCAAATATATATTCTGAAGGTATTAAAAAACATTTCGTTTCTATAGTGGTAAATCCCTGAAAGAAACTGTTACTCTTGAAGATGGACGAATTGGAGAAAGACCAGAAATAATATATCATGTAATTCACACTATTTTATTGGGTTCTCTTGCAATGGTTATAGAAGGGTAAGTTTACTTTATCTGTTTGTTTTTTACGAAGATTTTTCTTCCTAATGATAATAAGTGGGTACATTCAAAAATACATTCATAAAACTTTGTAATAACTTAAAACTTGTAAATTTTCTTATATAACTGGAGTTTACAGGTGATCTTTATGGGATAGTGAACTGATGTTTTATTATTCATTAATGTGTTCAAAAACATTGAATGTTCCAAGGTAGAGCTGGGGTTGTGGCTCAGCAGTAGAGCTCTCGCCTAGCACATTTGAGACCCTGGGTTCGATCCTCAGCACCACATAAAATAAAATAAGGATTTTGTGTCCATCTACAACTAAAAATAAATATTTTTTAAAAATTTATATTATATCATAATGATTAAAGGAGAGGTAAATGGTGAGGTGAGAACGCTGAAAAAACAGAATTTGGTTTAAAGAGATCAGAAAGGCTCTCTTAAGGAAAAGATGCTTGAGGTGAGACCTGAAAGTTAAGAAAGAGTGAAGTTGGTAAACAGAAGAGGGAAGAGTATTCCAGGTAGAGAGACTAGCATATGACAAACTTTGCAGTGAGACGGAACATGGCACATTGTTGGGGGAAATGACATGGGGCTCAGTGTGGCTGAAGTGCATTGAGTTTGCAATAGAACTTGTTGAGGACTTTAGGGTTATTATTTGTTTCTTTTATCCTTTTACTCTCCTTATTTTTAAAAAATTGCTTTTAAATGGCAAATGAACCTTCAGTGAAATATAAGTGGGATTCCATTTAATGTACAATAAGATAGGATATTTCTTTCTTTTTTTTTTTTAGGTACCAGGGATTTAACTCAGGGGCACTCGATCACTCAGCCACATCCCCAGCCCTATTTTGTATTTCATTTAGAGAAAGGGTCTCACTGAGTTGCTTAGCGCCTCACTGTTGCTGAGTCTTAGCTTTGAACTCTTGCTCCTCCTGTCTCAGCCTTCCATGCTGCTGGGATTACAGGTGTGCACTGTTCCCGGAAAGATAGAATATTTCCGTTTTATTTGCTTGATAATTTTAATGTTCTGCATACCTTCATAAATTTGTTTTGGCAAATCAGTATTTATATATAGTCATATGTCACTTAATGTCTGGGTGCATCCTAAGAAATGCATTGTTAAATTGTGCAAACTTCATAGAGTATGCTCCCACAACCTAAGCCTAGTATAATTTCTCTAGGTGATATAATATTACTGGATCCCTGTCATACATGTAGTCCATCATTTACCAAAACATCACTATGCAGCATGTGACTATATTCATATTCATATATGTTATATCATAATTCTTTAGGGGTTTGATTGCTTGGAACATATCTCACACTATTTTTAAATCTTTAATTTTCAAACTCCTCTTATTCCTGCTCCTATTGAAAATCACACCAACTTGTTAATAAATTTAATTAAAACATTGAAAGAGCAGGGTGCAGTGGTGCATTCCTGTAATCCCAGCCACCTGGGAGACTGAAGCAACAGTATCACAAGTTCAAGGCCAACCCCAGCAATTTAGTGAGACCCATCTCAAAGACTGGGGATATAACTCAGTAGTAGAGTGCTCCTGGGTTCAATCCCCAGGAAGAGAAAAAGAACATACTCACTGAACAGAAGTTTCTAGATTTCCAATAAAAGTCACTCTTAGCAATGGTGAGAGATATGAAAGTATATAAGATGGAATTCCTCTTCTCCAGAAGCTCACGGTCTAAGAGGATAAATGCAGCATTCAGGATTCCCTATATCTACTCTTACTTCTATGCCCAGGAGACACCAGGGCACAGAAAACCAGTTGTCACCTCCCAGTAAAGTTGTGCAGACAGTGCCTGTTTTTCTCAGGAACAATGCATGACATTATACACAGAATATTGTCAATCAAGGAAATTCAGCTGAGCCATTGTTCAGTTTTTATTGAGGCTTTGTCACATAATGTGGTTGACTACCTGTGTGGCCCAAGGCCCCCACCATAAGTCACATTGTTAGCATAAACTCTCAGGTATACCCCAACATCCCAGTTAAACAGAGATACTCTAAGCAGATAAGAGGTTAGTTGCTTCCTAGGAGTGGAAGGCAACAGTCATATCTCTTCTTCGGGCAAGGTTAATCCTTTACTAGTGCAGTAAGAAGCCTGAAAATAAGTATAAAGAGGGCTGGAGTTGTGGCTCAGCGGTAGAGCACTTGCCTTGCACATGTGAGACCCTGGGTTCGATCCTAGGCACCACATAAAAAAAATAAAATAAACAAGTGAAATAAAGATGTTGTGTCCCACTACAATTAAAAAATTTTTAAAAAGTATAAAGAAAGAATACATGAGGCTTTTTGCCTATTAATTAGAGTTAGTTATTCTCATATTGTAATATCTGTAAATATAAGAATATCTCATCCCTTTCTTGTTTCTTTTTTTTTTCTGTGATGTTAGATTGAACCTGGGGCCTCTCGCATGCTAGCTCTACCATTGAGCTATACCCACAGCCCTCATCTTTTTTTTTAAAATGAAAGAGGGAAATGTTACCATCTTTAGAAGTTTCTAGTTTTTTTAAAAAAAAATAGGGATGGGTCTCACTGTGTTGTCCAAGTTGCCCAAATTCTTGGGCCCAAACTCTGGCACTCAAGTTATCTTCCAGCCTCAGCCTCCCAAGTAGCTGGGACTACAGGTGCCACCATGCTAGGCTACACTGAGGATTTTTTAACAGAAAGTATCTTAGAGTTGTTTGAAAAAGATTCATCTAGCATTTGGTTGAATTGGAGGACAGAGTAAAGATAAAAGATAGAAATGTTACTCTTACAATAAAATGGTACGGAAGGGAAGGAGACCTTCACTTCCATGGAACTGGCATCAACCAGTGGGTTTGGCACCAATGGACTGATCCTTAGAGCAGAGATGTATTGTATTCCAGGGATGGTAGTATACATATAACTCAGCGTGAATGGTGCCCTCTGTTACCGTCAAGCAACCCTAGTATTTATTCTAGCTAACTGGAAGAACAGGTTGATATTTTTGGAAGTGGTGAAGTTGGGAGGAGATATTGGTTGACCCTTCCCCCCAGAAAATTAATACAGTTTCTGTCTTTACTAGTACGTATTCTATGTGTGTCTGCCACTTCTCTCAAGGCCTAGGTTATGATACTTTTTGTGTGTGTGCAGTGCTGAGGAATTGAACCCAGACGTCACTTGTGCTAGGCAAGTCCTCTACCATTAAGCTACACCTTCAGCTCAGCATTCAGTTTTTTAACTATATTTATACTATACTATATTTATTTATATATTTTAACTATATTTATCTATATAAACTATATTTAGTTATTTCACTTTTACCTAACCCTAGACTTTATGTAATTTTTCTTATATCTATTTCCTATTTGCTTCCTCTTTTTTTTCATCTTTTTTAATTGGTGTACTATAGTTGTACATGCCCTGTTTGGTTTTATTTCATTTTGAGAAAGAGCTCCTTGAGAGCTATTGCCATGACTTTTTTGTCTTCTTTTCTGTTACTTTGGTTAGCTTACAGTAGATGATCAGTCAATGTTCATTATTAAATAAATGAATATTTTTTTATTTCATAGTTTTGCTGTTTTACAAAACCATGAGATTTGATTTTTATATCTGACCTCACATTCTTCTAGTCTTATCTGAGTTTAACACCAACAAATATTTCATGGAAGGGTCTGGTTGTTCTCCTCAGCATTAATTACCACAGTTATACTCTAGCTCTTCCTCTTCCATCTTCAGTTTTTACTATTTCCTCTGAAGACAGGCTCTTTTTGTTTTCTTTTCGGGGTTGAGGTGGGGGACTGGGGATTGAACTCTGAGGCACTCAACCACTGAGCCACATCCCCAGCCCTATTTTATATTTTATTTAGAGACAGGGTCTCACTGAGTTGCTTAGTGCCTCACTTTTGCTGAGGCTGGCTTTGAACTCATGATAGAAAAAGAGGGAGAACTTCCAAATTCATTCTACGAGGCCAACATCACCCTGATTCCTAAACCAGACAAAGACACTTCAAAGAAAGAAAACTACAGACCAATATCTCTAATGAACCTAGATACAAAAATCCTCAATAAAATTCTGGCGAATCGGATAAAAAAACATATCAAAAAAATTGTGCACCATGATCAAGTAGGATTCATCCCTGGGATGCAAGGCTGGTTCAATATACGGAAATCAATAATAGTTATTCACCACATCAATAGACTTAAAAATAAGAACCATATGATCATCTCGATAGATGCGGAAAAAGCATTATTTTTTTATTTTGAGACAAGGTCTTGCTTAGTTATCAAGGCTGACTTCAAACTTGTGATCCTCCTCTTTCATCCCCCTGAGTAGCTGGGATTATAGGCATATACCACCACAGCCAGTACAGATCCTTGCTTTTTAAAAAATTAATCTCAAAAGTAGCAAATAGATTATAATAAATATAGAATAATATAGAAATATATATAGTATAGAAATATATGAAGTTAGGAGCTGGGGTTGTGGCTCAGTGATAGAGTGCTTGCCTAGCACACATGAGGCACTGGGTTTAAACCTCAGCACCACATAAAGATAGAATAAAAATATTATGTCCACCTACCACTAAAAAATAAATTAAAAAAAAAGAAATATATGAAGTTAAAAAATAACATCCTACTTTCCAGGCATTATATCATATATCCACATTTAACAAAAGAAAAAGAAAACCAGGTGCAGGTGCAATGATGCACACCTATAATCCCAGGGATTTGGGAGGCTGAGGCAGGACGATTGTGAGTTCAAACACAGCCTCAGCAATTTAGTAGGCCCTAAGCAACTCAGACCCTATCTCTAATAAAATATAAAAAGGGCTGAGGAGGGCTGGGGTTTTGGCTCAGCAGTAGAGCATTTGCCTAGCACGTGCAAGGTCCTGGGTTCAATTCTCAGCACCACATAAAAATAAATAAGTAAAATAAAGGTATTGTGTTCAACTACAACTAAAAAATAAATATATTTTAAGAAAAAAGAGGGGCTGAGGATGTGGCCTGGTGGTTAAGCACCCTTGGGTTTAATCCCTGGTACCAGGAAAAAAAAAAAAAAAAGGAAAAGCAAAAAACTAGGGAACGCTCTACATGAAGATTTTTATTTTGCTTTTTGTATTTTATTTATATCCAAGGACACAGGATTTTTCTAAATTTTCTATTAAAAATAGCATATGCTATAATTAAAACAGTTGCATAATATCTTTATATAGTTATGCTAGTATGTCTATAGGCTAAATTACAGAAATGGTATTGCTTATCTTAGATTACTTTAAATTTTCAATAAGTTCTGGTGAATTTCATTCTGAAAAGAGTTATATTCTCTCTAAGAGTACAATCTTGCTATACCTGCATCAATGTGAATGCTTTTATTTTATCCTCATTTGGTAACTCATGTTTTATTATGTAAGAATTGGGTAACAATCTATTGGTAATTTTTTTTTCTGTGCTGGGGTTATGGGTCAGTGGTAGAGCACTTGTCTATCATGTGTGAGGCACTGGGTTTAATTCTCAGCACCACATATAAATAAATAAATAATGTCCATTGTTTTTAACAATTTTTTTTTCTTATCTTGGCACTGGGAGTTGAACCCAAGGTTTCTTTACCACCAAGCCACATCCTCTACCCTTTTTATTTTTGTTATTTTGAGTAAGAGTCTCACTAAGTTGCTGAGCCCGGCCTTGAGATCTTTCTGCCTCAGCCTTCGAAGTTGCTGGAATTATAGATGTGTGCCATAACATCTGTGCCGACTAAGTTTTTTCATTCTCCCTTAATGTTTTGGTATTTTTGTTGTAATAGGAAAGAACTTAGAAAAGTCAGATAATGATGGTTATGGGATGCCTTATGTATTACTCTTTTTTATTTTTTCTAGCCTGAAATATATTTGGACTCCTTATGTGTGCATGTTAGCAGCATTTGGTGTATGTTCCCCTGAACTTTGGATGACACTTTTCAAGTGGCTTCGATTAAGAACTATACACCCAATATTGTTGGTGAGCCATTGTTTCTTTGTGTTAAATACTTGTTTCTTTTCCAGTTATGTAGTATCAAATGCTAATAAATAGAAACCATATTGAATACAATCCAATATAGTCTGAATAAGTCACGCAGTGACTTCCAGGTGGAAGAACAGGTCCTATGAAAAACATTGTTGTATAATTTCTGATTGTAAAATCAATGCATTTCAGTCTATACAACTTAAAAATATAAGGTAAAAATATAAGTGAATCAGTATTATGAGAAACCATAAGGAATTATTTTTATCTATTTTTTTCCCTAACTGCTCTTGAGCTGAAATGAATTAAAGTTTTTAAATTTATTAATTTATTTATTTTTCTGGTATTAGGATAATATACTCAGAGCCTCACACATATTAGGCAAGCACTTTACCCTACATCCTTAGCCATTTTTTTTTTGGAGACAGTTTTGCCCAGGCTGGCCTCAACTTTCCAAGTAGCTGCCCTGCTTTAAAAAAAAAAAAAAAAATTAAAGGTAATGTGGTGGTGGTCTTTATTTTATTTTTAAGAGGGTCTTGCTGGGTTGCCTAGATTGGCTCTAAACTCTTGGGATCAATTGATTTTCCTTAGTCTCTCAAAAAGCTGAACTACAGGTGTGCACCACCATACCCACCTTATAAAAATTAAAGATCTTTTTTGGTTTGATTTAGAACTATGGTATGTTTTTTGTTGTACTGAAACATTTTCATTGTGCCTGCTATATGCTTGTCAAAAGAAATAAAGATAAAACATAGTTAGCTTGAGGCTTTTGATTCTTTCCCCAGCATATCACAAAAAAAGTATTCGTAGGGTGCTATTAGAACATAGAGAAGGGTTAGTTTATTTATTTTTAGGGATTCAAAGGTGACTTTCCAGTTTGAAATTTGAAAGATGATGAGTTATGAAGCAAATGAAGAAAAAAAAAGGTATTCATGGTGAAAGGAATAAACAGAAGAAGATAAAAGAACATTGCTGCAGTCTGGCTGGGCAAACTAACGGGGGTGGGGTGACAAGGAACTTGTGAAGGTTGATGCAGTGGGAGTGGAGCCGTTTATTGTAGGATAGTAGGGGTATATATACATAACTGAATACACAGCTTGTTCTTAATTAACATAAACTAGGTACAGCAGTCAACCAATAAGGAATCATCGTCTTAATGATTACACAGCTTAACTTAATTGACATAATCTAGACATAGCAGTCAGTCATTAAGGAATCTCTATCATCTTAATGGCTCGCTGGCATTACTTCTCAAACCACTCCTTCTGGCAAAGTGCCAGGCGCCATCTTGGCTTGTTTACGACCCTAACATCTCCCCCAACAGAACATGATGCAATCAAAAGAAATAAATGAGCAAAAAAGTTAGTCTTACTGGCACAAAGCATGAAGTATAAGTGTGGTCAAATGATGAGGTTATGGGCTGGGGTTGTGGCTCAGTGGTAGAGTGCTCACGTAGTGCACGTGAGGCATTGGGTTCGATCCTTAGCACCACATAAAAATAAAATAAAGGAATTGTGTCCACCTACAACTAAAAAATAAATAAATATTTTAAAAATGATTAGGTTATGGTGGCCTCCATTATCATATAATAGAGCTTGGTCTTTAATGGGCAGTAGAAAGGCATTGAGATTTTGTTTATTTTGTGTGTGTGTGTGTGTGTGAGATGCTGGGGATTGACTTATCCATGTGAGGCAAGCATTCTACCAAATGAACTATATCCCCAGCCTGGCATTGAGACTTTTATGTCTCATAAGGAATAAGAATCAAACTATTTTCTCTTAGCTCACTCTTAAAATTCTTTAAGGATAGGCTTAAAGGCCATGTACATGAAATTAACACAGGTATCAATTTATTGAAAGTTCACTATGTGTCAGATTCTGTTTTAAAGCATTTCATGTGGTATTCAGTACTAAGTTTTGTTATCTCTGAAGAAAAAGACACTAAGCTTAAAATTGTTTAAATAACTTGTTTAAGATAATATAGCTTTTATATGTGAAAACCATAAATAAACATCACATAACATTCACATCCCGGTTTATCTGGACTCCAAAACCTATTTGAGAGCTTGTTACAGTAGTGCATGTCTATAATCCTAGCAACTCATGAGACTGAGACAGGAGGCTCACAAATTTGAGGCCATCCTTAGCAATTTAGCAAGGCCCTAGCAACTTAAAATTTAAAATAAATAAATAAAAAGGGCGAGTGATATAGTTTAGTGGTAAAGTGCCCCTGGGTTTAAGCAGTAATGTCAAACAAAAGCCTGCTTGATTAACACTCTTGCCACATTGACAAAAGAAAAAATACTGTGCTATATTAGAATGAAAAAAAAAGTAGTTAGAAAAAGATTAATAAGACTCAGTGCTTGATTAAGTATTGGGGGAATGAGTTGGGTGAGGTGGCACAAACCTATAATACTAGCAGTTCAGGAAGCTGTGTCAGGAGGATTGCAAGTTCAAGGCCAGCCTCAGGAATTTTAGCAAGGCCCTTAAGCAATTTTAATGAGACCCTGTCTCAAAAATTAAGAATAAAAAGGTCTGGGAGCCAGGTGCTGTGGCACACATCCGTAATCTCAGCGGATCAGGAGGCTGAGAGTTCAAAGCTAGTCTTAGCAACGGCAAGACCCTAAGCAACTCAGTGAGACCCTATCTCTAAACAAAATACAAAATAAAGCTAGGCATATGGCTCAGTGGTTGAGTGCCCCTGAGTCCCTGGTACCAAAAAAAAAAAAAAAAAGGTTTGGGGATGTGGCTCACTAGTAAAGCACCCTGGGTTAAATCCCTGGTACCCTCACCCCCCCAAAAAAAAATAAGGTAGAAATGATGGTATTTTCTAGGTTTCTGGTTTGTATGACTGTGGATCATTGTTCATTAGGTTAACAATAGACAAGGGACAGTAGGAAGAACTGGTTTTGGCAGGAAGATGAGTTATGTTTAATAATAATCATGTTAGCCAGGTACATGTTAGCCAATGCATACCTGTAATCCCAGCAGCTCAGGAGGCTGAGACAGGAGGATCGCAAGTTCAAAGCCAGCCTCAGCAAAAGGGAGGTGCTAAGCAACTCAGTGAAACCCTGTGTCTAAATAAAATAAAAAATAGATCTGGGATTGTGGCTCAGTGATCTTGAGTTCAATCCCTGATACCAAATCCTCTCCCCCCAAAAAAAATAATATTTTGCCAGTCTTATTCCCAGAATTTATACATTCTTATTTTAACATACTAGTATATTTATTAGCTATTTTTTGTTACTTTCCCCCATACTAGGGATTGAACCCTGGGGCTTTTTAACACTGAGCTACATCCCCAGTCCAGCCCCTGCTTTTTTTGAAAAAGGGTCTCACTGAGTTGCTTAGGTCCTTGCTAAGTTGCTGAGGCTGGCCTCAAATTCGCGATCCACCTGCCTCAGCTTCCCAAATTGCTGGGATTACAGGCACGTGCCACCCTGCCTGGCTCATTGTCTTCTTATTGTTGTTGTTAGCTTTTCATATAGCAATTCAGAATTATTTTCAGACTCTTAATGGCATAAGTCCCTGACAAATTTTCAAATATTGATTGACTATTTGAAATATTATGAGCATTACTTTTTTGATGCTCTGCTATAAATTTATGTAGTAAATATGTGTGTCTCACTTTACCTCTTGGTTAGTGTTTGAAACTCTTTAATTATCCCTCATCTCACTGGCTTCACTTTCTATTATTGGAATTTTTATAACTAAAAGGATATTCAGTTGATCATAGAGTCATTGCTAGTATCTCTAAAGTATACTCATATTTACCTATAACCCTTTTTGCTTTGATATTTCAGGCTCTTATTCTGAGCATGGCTGTGCCCACTATAATAGGTCTCAGTTTATGGAAAGAGGTAAGAAAACCAGAAGCTTAAATTACTGAAGTGTACAAGATAATGTGTTTTTTTCATTTATTTATTTTTTTTTATTTTGAGACAGGGTCTGACTAAGTTGCTTGTGGCCTTGCTGAGTTGCAAGGCGGGCTTTGAACTTATAATCCTCCTGCCTCAGCCTGCCAAGCTGCTGGAATTACAGACATGCACCACTGTGCCTGGCTGGTAATGATAAATTTATATATGTGTGTAGGAAATTTTTATCAAGAATACTATTCTAAGCCGGACATGGTGGTAAACGCCAGTAATCCCAGCCACTGGAGAGACAAGGCAGGAGGATCACAAGTTCAAGGTCAGCCTCAGCAACTTAATGAAGTCCTACAAAATTTAGGGAGACCCTGTTTCAAAATAAAAAATAAGAACTGGGGGTATAGCTCAGTGTTATAGTGCCCCTGGGTTAAATCCCTGGTACCCCCCGACCAAAAAATAAATAAATAAAAAACTATTACAACAAAGTGTGATGTTGTTACTAATGCTTTTTTTTTTTTAAAGTTATAACAGAAGACCCACTACATTTTTAGAATGCCATGTGATATTGTTTTTTGTAGTCTAATAAGATTGTAAATTCAGTATCTAATTGGCAAAGGAAATTGCTGAAAAATAGGTCTTAATGTTTAAAAATATTCGCTTCATTTTAATATCTATAATATAATATAAATTCTTTGGTTTATCATAATGTAAATGAAACTACTTGCCAGTAAACTTACAAGTTTTATTAGTAAGTAAAATTTGTTCACTTGTTTAGTATGTGTGCATAAAATACAGAACTGATGATTAATTGTTTGATATTGATAAAATTATTTATTGAGTCTAGGCAGTGCATCAACCATAAGATTATTATTTGGATTGAGAAGAATGAGCAGGTCACTGAAAGAAAGCAAAGAGATCAATGACATTTTTGTCATGAAAACATTATTGTATTATTTGCCTCAAATTAACTCTTTTAGTCTTTTGAGATACTTTGGAGAAATTCTAAACTTTCTAATTACTTACATCTTTTGGGGATTTGTTTTGCATTTTAGTTCTTTCCAAGATTAATGACAGAATTAACGGAACTACAGGAATTCTATGACCCAGATACAGTGGAACTTATGACCTGGATAAAGTAAGAATTGAACTATCCAAGACTGTTTGTTAAACTATTAACTAATTATTGCATGCTATCTAATGGATTCAAGGGAAATAATGAATTAATACTTTTCCAATTTCTCATAAAACTCAGCAATTTTATCACCATGATTTTTAGGCATACTTAGTGTTGACTGAACTTTGTGATTCTATTTTCTAATGAAACTGACTTCTGTGGACTTGAAAATACGACGTTGATAAGTGAGATTAGAGACTTCTAACATCAAACACCTAGAAATATGAAATAAAAAGGAATGTTTAGAAGCATCAAGAAAATGCTTCTTTTATTGTTGACTGGAGGTGAATTAACAGTTGATTGCCAGTCTTAGTACCAAGGGATTTATATTTTAATGCCTAAGCAGAACAGGTGGTGTGGTCTTGGCCTCTAGAAGCAAGAGAATTGGAACTGAGACCCCTGCTTAACACATTTATATATAACCCAGGGACTTTCAAAAGGTTATGCTGTCACTGAAAGAATCTAATAACAAAATATCCACCAAGTAATAGAAAAAGATAAGAAAGTATTTCTCTCTTGGCTTCAACTCTTGGTCAAAAAAATTTCCTTTCTAAATTTGTAGCAGTGGATCTGAATTCATGTGGACTTATAATTTGAAATTATACTTTTCTAGTCTAGGAAACCCCAATCAAGAAATTGGCATTAAAACTGGTACTGGAGTGCCAAGTGCAACACATGACATACCCCTGTATTTTCAGGGATTTGGAAAGCTGAGGCAGGAGGATCACAGATTCAATGCCAGTATCAGCAAATTAGCAAGACCCTCAAAATTAAAAATAAATAAATAAATAAAAGGACAGGGGGATGTGGTTCGGTGGTTAAGCACCCCTGGGCTCAATGTTCCCCAGTTCAAAAAAAAGTGGTCCTGGGTTTGGCTAGCATATCTGATAAATAAAACCCAGGCTGCATAGGATTTCATAAAGTTGCATGAAGGTGAGCTCTAAAGTTACAAAACACATGAGGTAACAATTCAACACAGCAAGTATCAGCTAATATTTGTGATAAACAGCAGCATTAGACCTCTGCCAATTTCTGAAAATGAAATTTGTGTCATCCAGTGTTTGTTATGTATCAGACTGCCACAAAACTTCTTGGCTTATAAGCAGTAAACATTTATTATTTGGCACAATTTTCAGAGAGGTTTCTCCTGGTCTGGGCCAGCTCAGGTGGAACTGGATAACCTGGTGTGAACTCTTTCACATATCTGGTGTTGACTAGGCGAAGGGATCAAATTAATTTGTCCATATGTCTAGTGTATTAGGATGAGTTTGTTCATAAGATAGTAGTTGTAGAGTTACCAAGAACAAAAAGAGAGGGCAAGTTTTAATGTCAAATGTGTTTTAAATTTGTATGTACATTGTGTTTGTTATTTTCTAATTGGCTAAAGCAAATTACATGATCAAGACCAGCATTCCCTTTATGATCATGGCTATAAGAAGAGGATTTGTTATGTCCATTTTTGTAATCAGCCTATCCCATGGTTAGAAGCTATAAGATAATTACATTGAAATTATTAAAGATGTAAACAAAGAAATAAAAATATCAAAAAGGAATGAAATACAGGAAAATACGAAGAAGAAAGACAAAAGATGTTTCTAGAAATAAGGAATCGGCTTATAGAATAAGTATGTAGATATGAGACTAGGTCTTTATAATGTCTTTACTGTAAAGATCTTCCTTGTATATATAAAAATATATAAAAATTTTCTTTTTTCCTTTTGGTACTGGGGACTGAACCCAGGAGTGCTTAACCACTGAGCCACATCCTCAGTCGTTTTTTGTATTTTATTTAGAGACAGAGTCTTACTAAGTTGCTTAGGGTCTTGCTGAGTTGCTGAGGCTGGATTTTAACTTGGATTTAACTGGATTTTAACTGTTCTCCTGTCTTAACCTCCCAAACTACTGGTTTTATAGCTGTGTGCCTGGTAAAGAATTGTTTTCTTTAAATCACCCTTAACTATTGCTAATTAATACCTTTTGTGAATTGTGATTACTATGAGGATGCACTGATTGTACAGTCTTGTGCTATCATTAACAAAAGAGGAAGTCAACATTGATGTATGTGATTTATTGTAATATTTTCAAAAATATAACAATGGCCTGGACAGTTGGATGTCTTTTTGTGGTGTAATTGTTTTGTCTTGTATGTATTTCCTCACTAATGAGTGCTCCCTGAGCACAGTGACAAGGTTCCATTTCTTTATTTTCAGAACTTGATACTATGCTTAGACATGGGTAGGTGCTGAACATTGAATACATGAAGTGAATAAATAAGTGAAGGGAGGGCTGGAGGGTACAGCTTAATGGTAGAGGTGAACCAGGTGTGAGGCCCTAGGTTTGATACCCAGCACTGCAAATATATATAGATGCATGCATTTAGGACCTGTTTGTAGGTTTCCCACCTTGTAAGTAGCATCTGTCTGGGCCTTTAGATGATGATTCAGGTTAGAGAGGTCCTACATATGTTATCTGGAATCATGTAGGGTAAAACAGAGAAAGGAGTAGGAGTGTAAATTAATCTGAAAGGAGTTGTGTTGTGGTGGTTAATGTTTGCAAAAGATGAATTTGATAATTTATAGTGTTATCACTATAAATTCAATAGTATATTCTTATCATTATCTATTCTGGATTATCTTTTATAGCATTATTGCCATGTGACATAACTTTATTTTTATTGTCTCCTCCTCCTCCCTCTTTTTTAAAAAAAACTTCTATATTTAAGTATTCAAAACAGTGCTTGGCATATTGTAAGTGCTGAGTCTTTCTTTTTAAGGAATTCATAAATGAAAATTGATAGAGAAATTTTAGTGTTATACATTGTAAGTTACTTTGTATTTCAGAGTTGTAAATTGCTGAACTTAATAGTATACTTACCTTTCATTGTGTGAATCTTTTGGTTCTTTGCAGAAGGCAAGCTCCAATTGCAGCTGTGTTTGCAGGGAGTCCACAGTTAATGGGTGCAATTAAATTATGCACTGGATGGATGGTGACAAGCTTGCCTCTTTATAATGATGACGATCTCCTCAAGAGAAATGAAAATGTAAGACATTTTAAATTTGATATTTGGGTCTTTTTTACAACAATCTATATTTTAAATAGTTTCAATAGTGATGCATATGTTCCTAGTTAACTAGGAAAATCCAAATAATTTTAGAAGAGTTAATTAGCTTTAGTTTTTAAAAGCTGTATAATACATTTTTTTAACCTCGAGGAAACCCAATATTAAATTATTTATTTTATCAACACTATTGATGTTTCCAGGAAAAACATTCATTTTTCCCCCAAAATATTAAGGGAACTGGCATATAGTATTTAAGAAAGGGAAACTTATTTTTGAAAATATCTTTGTTCTCTATCTGGGTATGGTGGTACACACCTGTGATCCCAGCAACTAGAGAGACAGGAGGATTGCAAGTTCAAGGCTAGCCTCAGTAATTTAGCAAGGCCCCAAGCAACTTAACAAGACCCTCTCTCAAAATTAAAAATAAATAGGGATGTAGATCAGTAGTAAAGTGCCCCTGGGTTCACTCCCTAGCACCAAATACATATATGTGTGTGTGTCTGTTGAAGGAAAGCTGTCAATATCTTGAAATATTTTGTTTTCCCAAGCCAAAATTTTATTACTGATTATAAAAAACTAATTCATTTTTTTGGTATGGGCTTTTATTAATAATTCAATATAATATTAGAATGGCATCTAATCTTTAATCGTAAAGAATGTACTTTTTGCATATTGTTGCATTATAGTTGTACATAATGGTGGGATTTGTTTTTACATATTTATGCATACACATAATATAACAGTATAAATTGGCCAGTATTATTTCCCAGTATTTCTTCCTTTTCTTCCCTCCTCTCTCCCTTTGGGAGCATATATTGTTTTGAATGTTTGTTATAGTTTTAAATGACAACTTTATATCTGAAACTGAACCTGGATTTCCAATATCCTGTTTTTCAGTTTGCGAAAATTTCATATAGTTTGTAAGTACTAAAGAAGAAGTATAAGCAATTTAGAGGGTAAGAATACAGAATATGAAATTAGAATTGGACTCAAAAGCTCGTTCTCCCACATATTTAGCTTTGGAACCTTGTATATGCTACTGAATCTGGAAATAATATTAGTTTTCACCTCCTATTTGTGAGAATTAAATCAGATGATGTGTTGTTGTTAAAAGTTTGCTTTTGTTATGTACTATTAAATTGTAATTGTATATACATGCATGTATGTACATGTACACAAATTACAAATGGGAGTTCAAAAGCAGAAGCAATCAGTTCTGCCTATAGAAATCTTAAGAATTTATCATAAGGGTCATTTGCCTTGATGTGAGCCTGGAAGATTGAGTGGAAACTTGTTTGGAAAAAGAATCCTTATGATTCCAGGCTGAAAAACCAGTATAAGTAAATAATTTTTTTTTTTTTTTTTTTTTTGTAGTGAGGATTGAACACAGGGGTGCTTGACCACTAAGCCACATTCCTAACCCTTTTTATTTTTTATTTTGAGACAAGGTCTCACTAAGTTGCTTAGGCTTTCCATAGTTGCTGATGCTGGCCTTGAACTTGTGATATCCTGCCTCAGCCTCCAGAATCACTGGGATATGCCTTGCTATACCTGGCACAAGTCCAAAAATGTATATGGCCATGAAATTAGAAAATAAAATTCTGGAGAGCCTGCAATGTCATGCTGAAGAATTTAGACTTATTCTTGAGGCAATTGGAGACATGAAAGACATTTAATAAGTTTGACAGTGGAGTGAGTAGGGCTGTTTTAGAGAGTTAATTATGGTCACAGCTGAGAAAGCAAATTGAAACAGGTGCAGGAAAGATCAAAGATGATGTCTACCTGAGGGTGATTTACTTGAGAGGCAACAGCCATTTCTGATTAGTATTTTCTGTGCTTCAAAGATGTAGAAATGTTTAGGCAGAATAGAGAGCATATTCCTGAACTTTTGTTTTTGTAGACTTAAAAAAAAAACAACTCTTGGGCTGGGGTTGTGGCTCACGTGGTAGCGTGCTCGCCTGGCATGCGTGCGGCCCGGGTTCGATCCTCAGCACCACATACAAAACAAAGATGTTGTGTCTGCCGAAAACTAAAAAAAAATAAATATTAAAAAAAAATTCTCTCTCTTTCTCTCTCTCACTCTATCTTTAAAAACAAAACAAAACTCTGTATTTTTGCTTTTGCTTTTGATAGTACTTATTCCTAAAACAGAATTTCAGAGTTACCTGTAATTAAGTCAGAGTTAAATTTAACATTTTAGCGTTTTAAGTTTAATGGAACTTGGCTCTGAGAATAAAAACAATGGATTTTGTTTTGTTTTTGTATTTCTTTCCAAACTTTTGCCTTTCTCTATAATATCTGGTACATAGCAGGTGCTAAATACATTTAATGTTTAATCAAAATCCAAATAGAACATCATAAATGAAATCATATCATTTAGATTAGATATTATCTCTAATTTATAGTATATGACTAATCTTTGTATAATTTCCTATGGGACATTTGGCAGTGTATGGAGACACTTTTAGTTGTCAAAACTGGAAGTGTGGGGTGGTTCTATAGGCATCTAACAGGTAGAGACTGGTTATGCTGGTAAACATCCTACAATGTGTAGAGCAACTTCCCTCCTATCTCAAAGAACTATCTGGCCGGAAATGTCTGCAATGCTAAGGTTGAAAAACTCTGCTCTAGGCTATTAGTGATAATATTGCTATTACACAGTCGTGGTTTTTTCTTCTTTTTTTTTTTGTTTTTTAATTTTAATATTTTATTTTTCGTTATCGGCGGACACAACATCTTTGTTTGTATGTGGTGCTGAGGATCGAACCCGGGTCGCACGCATACCATGCGAGCGCGCTACCACTTGAGCCACATCCCCAGCCCCTCTTCTTTTTTTTTTTTTGTTTTGTTTTGTTTAGCTTGATTTGTACAGTATAAGGGAGTGAATCCAGGGCCTAGCACATGTTAGGCAAGTGCTATACTACTGATCTATACCCCAGCCTTTTTAAAATATTTTATTTTGAGACAAAGTCTCACTGAGTTACTTAGGCTGGCCTTGAGCTTTCGATCCTCCTGTTTCAGCTTCCTGAGTAGCTTGGATTGTAGCTTGCCACAGTAGTTTTTTTTTAATGCCATGGTAGTCTGTTTTAGTTTCCTAAACTCAAATAAAATAAATATGTATATAAAATAAATACAAATGTTTGTAAACTATCAGACATAAGCTGGGTAAGATAGAATCATTCCCATTATAACTTATTCACAGTACAATGAATGACCAATTTCTTTTGATGTATTAGCATTTTGTATAGCACAAACATCCATGGATATTGGACCTGAAAGGTGCTAGACAGCCAGCAGCCATGAGACATAGTAGGCAGCTATTGAGTATTCTACAAACAAATTGGAATCTTTTTTAATCACAACTTCAAATTTCAGTATTTTTCAGGACAAATAGTATGTGATACTAATAGGGTTGGCAGAGTTGTAATTAAAATGCTATGGAATCAGGCTGGGGTTGTGGCTCAATGGTAAAGCATTTGTCTAGCACCTGTGAGGCTTTGGGTTCCATCACCAGTACCACATAAAAATAAATAAACAAAATAAAGTTATTGTGATCATCTAAAAATAAAAATATTTTTTAAATTAAAGAATAAATAAATGCCATGGAATCAGAACATGAATCTTAAGCATCCTTGCTTGGCATTGTGTGACAAATTATTTTTTTTATTTTCTTGTGTCTCTCGTGCATAAAATGAGTATAAAAAACTCTGATACAGATTAATAAAAAATTTAAGGCCCTGTTACAACTCAGTAATAAAAAGATAGCCCACTAGGGGAGGGTTGAGAATTTAGCTCAGTTGGTAGAGTGCTTGCCTTGCATGCACAAGGTCCTGGGTTCAATCCCCAGCACCAGTAAATAAATAAATGGGGAAATGACTTTAGTAGACATTTGTCCAAAGAATTAATTCAAATGGCTAATGAGCATATGAAAAGATGCTCAATCTCAGTAGCCTTCAGGGAAATACAAATAAAATCCACAAATAGATACCACTTCAGACCTAGGAGAATAGCTAAAAATCAAAAGGACAAGTAGGGTTAAGAATGTGGAAAACTCTGAACCAAACCCTTGTACGCTGATGGTGGGAATATGAAATGTACAGCTGCTTTGGAAACATGAAACATGTCTAGCAGATTGTCAAAAAGTTACCACATGACCTAGTAATTCTATTCCCAGTTATATACCCAAGAGTAATGAAAACATGTCCACCAAAAAAATTATACACGATTGTTCATAGAAGCACTGTTCATGATAGCCTAAAGGTGGAAGCAACTCAGATGTTTATCAGCTGATGACTGAATAAGCAAAATGTGGAATATCCATGCAATGAATATTACTTAGCACTGAAAGGGAATGAAGTCCTGATACATGCTACAACATGAATGAATTTTGTAAACCTTGTGCTAAGTGAAAGAATCTAGTCACAAAGGAATACATATGTAATGTTCCTTTTATGTGAAATGTCCAGAATAGTTAATATTTGTAGAGACAAAGTAAATTATTGGTCTGGTACTTGGCACACACCAGATTGCTTCGGACCTTGATAAGTTGCTGGAACTGGCTTTGAACTTATGTTCCTCCTGCCTCAGCTTCCAAAGTTCTGGGATTACTGGTATGTGCCATGGTGTCTGGCTCAACATTACATTCTTTAAAAAAGAAAAATTCTACCTCTCATATCAGTGACCCTAAACAACTTTTTCAATTTTCTATGTTCCCTTCAAGTTTATATCTGTGAACATTTCTTATTTTGTATATGGTGGTTATCAGAATTACATCATATGATTTCTAATTAATTAGATACCACATTATTTTTACTAATTGTTTTATATTTAATTGTGATCACTGTGATACATGAGTATAAACTTCTCAAGGGCAGAAATAAAATCATAGTAAATACCTTTATTTTCTCCAAGTGTTGTGTACTACTAAGAACACAGTAGGTGGTCAGTTTGTATAGTTTTTTGTTTTTTTATTTGTTTTGGTACTAGGGATTTAACCTAGGGACACTTTATTACTGAGCTACATTCCCAGTCCTTTGAATTTTTTATTTTGATAAAGTTTCTAACTAAGTTACCTAGGGCCTCACTAATTTGCTGAGACTGACCTTGAACTTGTGATCCTCCTGCCTCCCAAACAGCTGGGATTATAGGCATGCACCATCATACCTTGCTTAGTATAGTTTTGATTAACAGGAGTTTACATATCTTTTAAGATCAGTTTTAATTATTTTCTTTCAGATTTACCAAATCTATTCAAAGCGATCTGCTGAAGATATTTATAAAATACTGACATCCTACAAAGCTAATTATCTAATTGTGGAAGATGCTATCTGCAATGAAGTGGGAACCATGAGAGGTTGTAGGGTTAAAGATTTGCTAGATGTTGCAAATGGCCACGTAAGTAATAATTCAGAAAGTTTTTTTTTTTAAATTACTTTATTTAAACTTAATCTCCAAGTTTTATTTTTAGAACTCAACTAAGACTTAATGGGAGCACTTATTACAATTAGTTTGAAATATTGGGGTTTTGGGGGTTTGTTACTGAGGATTGAATACAGGGTGTGCTTTAACACTGAGCTACATCATTGGCCCTTTTTATTTTTTATTTTGAGACAGGGTCTTGATAAGTTGCTTAGGGCCCCACTAAATAGCTGAGTTTGGAGTCTTCCTGTCTCTGCCTCCCAAGTCGCTGGTCTTATAAGGTGTATGCTACCACATCCAGCTGAAGTATTTTTTCCAATGTACAAAGAAAAAGTAAGGCATTTTTGCAAAAAAGAAAAATAATTACCAATATTCAGTCTTTATTCATTGCCTGTATTTGTGCATGTTTCATTCAGTATTTGTTAACAAAAGATTCTATAATGTGATTTAAATAATGGGTTTATTGTAACATATTATAATAAATTAAAGAGCCCATACCAGCCCGTGCAGTACCCAGGCTCACAGTAGGCCCTAGTTCATTGCTCCACCAACAGCACAGACACTGCCAGAGCCTAGCCTTTGGCATAGGACCACCCCTTCAGTCCAGCAGACTACCGCGGGAGTCAGGCCCGGCCCAGATCTGTCCACACTGACTTGTGCAGGACTCAGGTCCAGGGTTGGTCTGAATTCGCCCACCCTCCCACCTGGGAGCCTAAGCCTAACTCTAACCCACTTCCATCTTGGGACACTGCATTCATCGCCATAGCCTTCCCCACACAGTAGCCCCTAACTTTTTAACAATAGACAGGGCCTACAAGAAGCTGCATCTCAGAGCAGGCATCCCATAGGGAGTGTGAGGCCCACTCTTGCAGCCCCATCTCCATAAGACATTGCTTCCATCTTGGGGCAACTTAACTATTATCTCAAGTTACCTCTGCTATTGCCGCCACCAACCTTAGATGGAGTAGCATACACTAAGGGACACCGGCAGGGTCTGGAAGCCCAACATCAAGGTGAGGTACAGACAATCTGCACGGGTACTACAAGAATATAGGGAAGAAACTGTAATATCTCAGATCCACACTGCAAGAAAGGAAGATACATAGACAACATGAAAAAACAAGGGAGGAATTAAAGAATGACCTAAATGAGCAAATACAGGCAAAAATTGATCACTCCAACAAAGAGATAAGAGAGCAAATACAGGTAGCAAAAGATTACTGAGAGAGAGAGAGAGACTCTGAAAAAAAAAAAAGTCAGAAATTCTTGAAATGAAGGCTACAGTAAATCAAATAAAAAACTCAATAGAAAGTATAACCAAAGAGTAGATCACTTAGAAGAAAGAATGGCAGATAATGAAGACAAAGTATACAATTTGGGAAATAAAGTTGATCCCACAGTGAAGACAGTAAGAAATCATGAACAAACATACAAGAATTATGGGACAGCATCAAAAGACCAAATCTAAGAGTTATTGCAATAGAGAAAGGCACAGAATTTCAAACCAAAGGAATGCACAATCTCTTCAATTATTTTATAATATCAGAAAAGTTCCCAAGCATAAAGAACGAATTGGAAAACCAAATACAAGAGGCTTACAGGACACCTAATGTGCAAAATTACAACAAATCTACACCAAGGCACATTATAATGAAAATGCCTAGCATATAAAATAAGGATAGAATCTTAAAAGCTGCAAGAGAAAGGAATCAGATCACATATAGGGGGAGACCAATCCGTGTATCAGCAGATTTTTCAACCAAGACCCTCAAAGCCAGGAGATCGTGGAACAACATATACCAAGCTCTGAAAGAAAATGGATGCCAACCAAGAATCTTATATCCAGCAAAACTAAGCTTTAGATTTGATAATGAAATAAAAACCTTTCATGTTAAACAAAAGTTAAAAGAATTTATAATTAGAAAGCCTGCACTACAGAACATCCTTGGCAAAATATTCTAAGAAGAAATGAAAAACAATGATGAAAATCAGAAGAGAGAGAGGTATTACACTAAAGGAAAATCTAATCAGAGGAGAAACCAAGTCACATTAAATACACGAAATAATAAACAAAAATGGCTAGGAATACGAATCCTGTCTCAATAATAACCCTGAATGTTAATGGCCTAAACTCACCAATCAAAAGACATAGGCTAGCAGATTGGATAAAAAAGAGAGAGAGAGACCCAACAATATGCTTCCTTCAAGAGACTCATAGGAAAAGATATCCACAGACTGAAGGTGAAGGGTTGAGAAAAATCATACTACTCCCATGGATTGTAGAAGCAATCAGAGATTTCCATCCTCATTTCAACTAAAGTAGACTTCAAATTAAAGTCAATCAAAAAGGATAAAGAAGGACACTACATACTGCTCAAGGGAACCATACACCAACAAGACTTAACGATTATAAATATATATGCCCCAAACAGTGGAGCATCTACATTCATCAAACAAACTCTTCTCAAGTTCAATAGTCATTTAAACCACAATACAATAAATTTGGGTGACTTCAACACACCTCTTTCATCACTAAAGAGATCTTCCAAACAAAAGCTGAAGAAACTATATTACTCAATAATACAATCAATAAATTAGACTTAACTGACATATATAGAATATTTCATCCTTCAAGGAGAGAATATACTTTCTTCTCAGCAGCACATGGATCCTTCTCTAAAATATAGACCTTATACTATACCACAAAGCAACTCTTAGCAAATATAAAAAAGTAGAGATACTGCCCTGCATTCTATCAGATCATATGGAATGACATTAGAAATCAATGATAAAAAAAAGAAATAAAATCCACTCCAACACCTGGAGACTAAATAATATGCTACTGAGTGAACAATGAATTGCAAAAGACATCAAGGAGAAGATTAAAAAAAATTTAGAGGTGAATGAGAACACAGATACAACATATTAAAATCTCTGACACTATGAAAGCAGTTCTAAGAAGAAGGTTCATTGCGTGGAGTTTACTCCTTAAAAAAGAAAAAGTCAACAAATAAATGACTTAATATTACATTCAAAGCGTTAGAAAAAGAAGAACAAATCAACACCAAAAGCAGTAGAAGACAGGAAATAATAAAAATCAGAGCTGAAATCAATGAAATTAAAACAAAAGAAACACTTGAAAAAATTGACAGAACAAAAAGGTGATTCTTTGAAAAAATAAATAAAATAGACCCTTAGCCATGCTAATGAAGAGAAGGAGAGAGAAAACTCAAGTTATTAGCATATGTGATGAAAAAGGAAATATCACAACAGACACTACAGAAATACATAAGATAATTAGAAATGATTTTGAAAACTTGTACTCCAATAAAATAGAAAATTCCGAAGGCATCAACAAATTTCTAGAGTCATATAATTTGCCCAAATTGAATCAGGATGATATATACAATTTAAACAGATCAAGTGACAAAATAGAAGACGCCATTAAAGAAGAACTAATACCAGTACTCTCCAATTTATTTCAGGAAATAGAAAAAGAGGGAACACTTCCAAACTCATTCTATGAGGCCAGTATCACCATGATTCCAAATCCAGGCAAAGACACGTCAAAAAAAGAAAACTTCAGACCAGTAAGTCTAATGAATATAGATGCAAAAATTCTCAATAAAATTCTGGCAAATCGAATACAAAAACATATCAAAAAGATCGTGCACCACAATCTAGTGGGATTCATCCCAGGGATTTAAGGTTGGTTTAACATACAGAAATCAATAAACATAATTCATCACATCAGTAGACTTAAAGATAGGAATCAAATGATCATCTTAATAGACGCAGAAAAAGCGTTTGACAAAATACAGCACCCCTTTATGTTCAAAATACTAAAAAACTAGGGATAACAGGAACATATTTTAACATCATAAAGACTATCTATGCAAAGCCACAGGCCAACATCATTCTAAATGGAGAAAAATTGAAGGCATTCCCTCTAAAAACTGGAACAAGACAGGTATGCCCTCTTTCACCACTTATATTTAAAATAGTTCTTGAAACACTGGCCAGAGCAATTAGACAGATGATAGAAATTAAAGGGATACACAAAGAAAAAGAAGAACTCAAATTGGCACTATTTGCTAATGATGTGATTCTATACCTAGAAGACCCTAAAAGTTCCACCAAAAAAACTTCTAGAACTAATAAATGAATTCAGCAAAGTAGCAAGATATAAAATCAACATCCATAAACCAAAGGCATTTCTGTATATCAGTGATAAATCCTCAGAAATGGAAATGAGGAAAACTACCCCATTTACAGTAGCCTAAAAAAAATAAAATACTTGGGAATCCACTTAATGAAAGGCGTGAAAGATCTATATAATGAAAATTACAGAACCCTAAAGAAAGAAGTCAAAGAAGACCTTAGAAGATGGGAAGGATCTACCTTGCTCTTGGATAGGCAGAATTAATATTACCAAAATGACCATACTTCCAAAAGCACTATACAGATTTAATGCAATTCCAATCAAAATCCAATGACATTCCTCTAGAAATAGAAAAAGCAATCATGAAATTCATTTGGAAAAATAATAGACCCAGAATAGCTAAAGAAATCCTTAGCAGGAAGAGTGAAGCAGGTGGCATCACTATACCAGACCTTAAACTATACTACAGAACAATAGTAACAAAAACAGCATGGTATTGGCACCAAAACAGACTGGTAGACCAATGGTACAGAATAGAGGACAGAGACCAATCCACAAATTACAATTATCTTATATTAGACAAAGATGCCAAACACATGCATTGGAGAAAAGATAGCCTCTTCAACAAATGGTGCTGGGAAAACTTGAAATCTGTATGCGACAAAATGAAATTAAACCACTATCTCTCACCATGCACAAAACTCAACTCAAGATGGATCATGGACTTAAGGAATAAAACCAGAGACCCTGCATCTAATAGAGGAAAAAAAGGTTCTTCTCAGCAAAAGAAACAATCTATGAGCATTGGGAATAGATTTTTACCCCTCACACATCAGAGCACTAATCCCTAGGGTATATAAAGAACTCACAAAGTTAAACACCAAAAAAACAAATAATCCAATCGATAAACAGGCCAAGGACCTGGACAGACACTTCTCAGATGATGATATACAATCAATCAACAAATATATGGAAAAATGTTCATCATCGCTAGCAATTAGAGAAACACAAATCAAAACTACTCTAAGATTTCATCTCACTCCAGTCAGAATAGCAGCTATTAAGAATACAAACAACAATAAGTTTTGGCAAGGATGTGGGGAAAAAGGTACACTCATACATTGCTGGTGGGACTGCAGATTGGTGCAGCCAATATGGAAAGTAGTATGGAGAATCCTTGAAAAACTGGGAATGGAACCACCATTTGACCCAGCTGTCCCTCTCCTTGGCCTAAACCCAAAGGACTTAAAAACAGCATACTACAGGGACACAGCCACATCAATGTTTATAGCAACACAAGTCACAATAGCTAAACTGTGGAGTCAACCTAGATGCTCTTCAGTAGATGAATGGATTTTTTAAAATGTGGCATATATCACGATAGAATATTACTCAGCAATAAAATTATGGCATTTGCAGGTAAATGGATGGAGTTCGAGAAGATAATGCTAAGTAAAGTTAGCCAATCCCAAAACAACAAATGCTGAATGTTTTCTTTGATATAAGATTCATAGTGGGATAGGGAGAGGGAGCATGGGAGGAATAGATGAACTCTAGATAGGACAGAGGGGTTGTAGAGAAAGGGAGGAGGGGGCATAGGGTTAGAAATGATGGTGGAACATGATGATCATTATTATCCAAAGTACATGTGTAGGGCTGGGGATGTGGCTCAAGCGGTAGCACGCTCGCCTGGCATGCGTGCAGCCCAGGTTCGATCCTCAGCACCACATACAAAGATGTTGTGTCCGCCGAAAACTAAAAAAAAATAAATAAATATTAAAAAAAAAAAAAAGTGCATGTGTGAAGACACGAATTGGTGTGAATATACCTTGTATACAACCAGAGATGTGAAAAATTGTGGTCTATATGTGTAATAAGAATTGTAATGCATTCTGCTGTCATATATAAATTTTTAAAAAAGGAAAAAAAGAAGACAGATGCAAAATGAAAAAATAAAAATTAAAGAGCCTCTGGTTGCATTGTTTCAAGTAATTTGATTCATATCTAGAAAAAGATGATTGCTAAATCAATACAGTGCCTATTTAATGAGTCCTCGTTATCCACAAAAATTAATGTAGTCAGTGCTACTTTAATTGGTAGGATCTAGCTGGATCTTAATTTTTACATAAATTTCAGCTATTTTTCCAAACTTACTTGCTTCTTAGCCTGCAGTGGATGTACTGTATCCGTTAAACAAGAAGACTGACAGGGGAGTTTGTATATCTGATAATTAGTATTGGCTAGAATGAATGCCTTTGCTCCTGAGAAAAGTGGAGAGAGGGGGCTTCAGGAAAAACTTAGCAGGTTGTCCTAAGATGTAGTGCATATTCTGTTTATGTTGCAGCCAAGATTTTTTTCTGTCTCTTCCTAAATAATCATAGCTCTTTGTTATACCATCCAAGACCAGGTTGGAGAATAAAAATTAGTTTTAGAGATTTCCATCTTTTTTTTTCACGACCCTTAAGCTTGCATTATAAACTTCCTCCGTTGTATGTTCCATACATATTTTGTGTGTGTGTGTGTGTGTGTGTGTGTGGTGCTGGGGATTGAACCCAGGACCTGATACATTGAGGCAAACACTCTACTAACTGAGCTATATCCCCAGCCCCTGCACCATTTTGAGTTTTCTTTTTTTTTTTTAAAGAGAGAGAGAATTTTAATATTTATTTTTTAGTTTTCGGCGTACACAACATCTTTGTTTGTATGTGGTGCTGAGGATCGAACCTGGCCCACATGCATGCCAGGCAAGCGCGCTACCGCTTGAGCCACATCCCCAGCCCCTTGAGTTTTCTTTATTGATACTTCATGGCTATATTCTTTGATTTATTGTGACAGGGAAATGTAAGTAAGTATTAATATTCAATAATTGTTGCTGTGTGGAGCCTTTCTATTCTGCTTTTGGATGCTCTGTTTTAAAGATTTAGCCATGTCTTTTATGTAATGTCCTGCATAGACTTAAGCTAATCCATTCTTTTATTTTTAAATTTGTCTCTCTGTCATCTTTCCAAAGGCATTAGAATAATATTTAGTATTTTATTATTAAAAATAAAAGTCAAGGGGCTGGGGCTGTAGCTCAGTGGTACAGCACTTGCCTCACATGTTGAGGCACCAGGTTTGATCCTCAGCACCACATAAGAGTAAATTTTAAAAAAAGTCAAGTGAGTTAAGCTGTTTTAGTGAACATCATTAGATAAGAATATAAAGGTTTGCACTTTTATAGAAAAGTTTATGTAGACTTACTTGCTTACTGAATAATTATGACTCAGTTCTGCACAAGAAGAGTTTGAATATACATTAGGAGTATGATATGTTCATTTTTCAGCCTTAGTAGTCTCTATGGTATGATTCTTCAGAACAATGATAATGAATTAAAAAAACAACACTTGCCAAATTTTAGGATTAAATCTTTTAAAAATTGGAGATAATTTATACTTTTATAATCTGATGAAAGTTAAAGCATTTAGTGGGCATGGTGAGTCACTTATGAAGAGGCTTGTGTTTGCTAACAATGGGACATATTTGACAGTCCATGTTTAGAATTTTTTTTTTTTCATGTAACTTTGGTCATTTATACATGGATTACATTTCTCCTTCAAGTTTAACAAGTTTTTTATCTTTTGATAGGTGGTTTGTGAAGAAGGTGACAAGTTAACCTACTCAAAATATGGACGATTTTGTCATGAGGTCAAAATTAACTATTCTCCATATGTGAATTATTTTACTAGAGTATACTGGAACAGATCCTATTTTGTTTATAAAATCAACACTGTGATATCCTTTCAATCTTGAAAAATAATAGAGCCTTCATTTCAAAGACTTATGCCACCTGAAGTAAAATGAGATTTTCTTTTACCTATATGGTGTCTGTTGCAAATCAGAGTATGGACATTTGAAATGCTGCTGCTCCTTTTTCCCTCCTGCTGTTAACTGAGTCCAGGATTTTGTGGGAAACAGAAAAATGTCAAATCTATCACTCCGCAATATTCCAGGCAGGTTTTTTCCTTAGTATTACATAGTCTTTAAAGATTTACCTATTGCAAGTTTCCCCATGAATCTTTCTATCACAGTATTGATCTTGAATTTGAATTTGTCCTATGTCTCAAATGTAATATTTAATTAATACTTAATGTGATATAGTTATATAATACAAGGAAAGATTATTCTTCAACTTTCTGAAGGTATTTGTTTAGTGGCTTATAGCAACTAAAATTTGACAATAAAAACTAATTTAAATGTTAGTTGAAAATATGTAACATTTAAATTAAAATGGAAATTATATAAAAGAAAGTGATTTTCAAGGATATACATAAATATATCCTGAATTTGCCATGATACTGCTTTCATCTTCTGCTGCTTATACAAGTGAACACTTTCTTTGTAATACAGGCGCATGTTATTGCATTTTGTTATTTTATAACTATTAAAACAATTATCTTTTTTCACTTATGTCCTTTAATTTGATAACACTTAAATCATGATAAAACAGTAACTTTTGTTACATATATATTTTTTTTTAAATAGACCTTGAAAAGAATGTTTAGAATTGTTTTAAAAATACGAATTTAGGGTATGCGATCTATTCACATGGTTTCTATGGAAGTATTAAGTAAAAAGTTAAAGCTTTGTCAGAATTAGAATATGTACACTACAATGAGCACCAACTTTATGAAGTATGTGTGTGTATACACACACACACATATATATATATATGCAGATGCATATAGATATGCATATAGATATGTTTATTATAGAACGCAAGCAATGTTATTTAAGAAACTGTGGTATGATTTTCATCATTAAGAACAAAATGACAGTTATAATAAAATTTACAGCACTGTTTTACAGCATAAATGCTTTGTTCCTTTGAGTATTTTAATATTTGTAATCATTTATTAAAATAAATTCTAAGCCTGACACAGTGGCGCACACCTATAATCCCAGCAGCTCAGGAAGCTGAGACAGGAGGATCAGGAGTTCAAAGCCAGTCTCAGCAAAAGTGAGGTGCTAAGCAACTCAGTGAAACCCTGTTTCTAAATAAAATACAAAATAGTGTTGGGGATGTGACTCAGTGGTCAAGTGCCCCTGAGTTCAATCCCCAGTACCAAAAAATAAAATAAATTCTAAAATAATTAATTTGACCTTTTTAAGAAGATTTAGTATAGATGTATCATTTTGATAAGATGAGTACATTTTCACTTTTACCTTGTATTACCTATTCAATGAACAGGTTTTCAACTTTTCACTTGTTAGAGGACTGTATAAATTACATTTTCAGAATTCTAAATTACTACATTAGAAGGGACTATCTTTCCATTGTCTTTATTTTCTGTTTTTATACACACACATATATACATATGTTATATATATATATATATATATATATATATATATATATATATTTTTTTTTTTTTTTTTTTTTTAAGTACATGCATTCTTAGAGTAATACTAGAATGCTTTGCTTCATTGGAGCTTAAGAATTATTTGACAGTAGTGTCGTATCTGATGTTTTAGTTTCATTGGTTTTCATTTCATTATTGTATATAATTGTTTTAACTATGTTATGATAGCCACAGGAAACGTATTTCAGATTGACTTTGTACATTTAGTAGTGAGTCACTCATATTTAACATCAAGCTTTATGAAAATATTACCACGGTTACGTAAGTACACAGTGAATAGTACATGGTAGTGCTTGTGATTAGAGCATGTAAAACATTGTACTTTAAAAGCCAGCTTGCAAATTTTGAAGAGAACACAGACACCCTACTTTCAATGTAGTGTGAAATATTTAATTGAATTTTTATTGATATATATTATGATTACATTCTGAATTAGTTTGGTTGTTGTGTTTTATTTTGTTTTCTATATTAGTTGCTTTTTGCTTCTGTCAACTAAATTCTTAAATAAAATAGACTTGAAGAAATTTTTAATCAAAATTTTTAAATAATGAATTTTCATTCAGCATAAATTGAAAGGGAAAAGTAATATGAGAGATAAACTTATTTGCTTTCAACTGTACTGTATTTGCTTCAAATATTTGTATTTAAAACAAGAGTAGTAGAAAACTTTGAATTGGAAGGATTTAATGATTTCCTTATTTGTAGAGTAATAAAAATTAACAATTCTGCAAGTAATTATACTTTGGTAGCTTATAGCTGTTAGGTTTGACAATAAAGATCTGTTAAGTGGGCTGAGGTTGTGGCTCAGCGGTAGAGAGCTTGTCTAGCACATGCAGAGCCCTGGGTTCGATCCTCAGCACCACCTAAAAATAAATAAACAAAAGTATTTGTCCATCTACAACTAAAAGAAAGTATTTTTTTAAAATCTATTAAAGGGGGCTGGGGATGTGGCTTAAGCGGTAGTGCGCTCGCGTGGCATGCGTGCGGCCCGGGTTCGATCCTCAGCACCACATACAAACAAAGATGTTGTGTCTGCCGAGAACTAAAATAAATAAATAAAATAAATATTTTTAAAAATCTATTAAAGGATCAAAGTTAATGGGTTTTGGATGGAAGGGATTTCTCAGAGAAATACAATATATACCTTGCCCTGGATTTTGCAAACCCATTGAAATAAGTGCCTTAACTTCTGTATTTCTAAGTTTACTTTTTTTTATTTTCCCCAAAATATTGCATGTTTTCTTTTTTCTAAGAAAATGATGGTAATTTTTTCCTTATTAATGATAAAAGATTGGAGCTGGGGCTGTAGCTCAGTGGTAGAACACTTGTCTAGCATGCATGAAGCCTTGGTTTCTATCCTCAGCACTACAAAAACAAACAACAAAAAAAAAAACCTAAAAAGATTTTTAAAAAAAAAAATCTTTCCTCTTTTATTGTTACTACTAGCTTCAATTCAGTAATAAATCTTTGTTAAGGATTTCTAGCCTCCTTAATTAATTTATTTATCTACCCAAATGCCAAACCAACCAACAAATAAAACTACTTGATAAAGTAATTGTAATATTGACTCAGCTGGTTTGGGTTTTTTCTAACTTCACCATCTGCATCTTGGTGTTTATTTTATTAACCTGGTAGAGTTTTACAACCTGAGTATGTATTGTTCTTTAGCACTAACTTTTTTCTTCATTATTTTCTATGTATATACAGCATTTTTCTTTCAGAATATTAATTCAAATTACCAGTAGGCTCAATGTTGTAACACTCTTCCATATTGATTCAAAAAACAATAGAAATAGAAGGCAAAGTGTGATAAAATTTGTGACTGAAAAATGTGCATAAAATAGATTATAATTTCTTAAATAGCCATCTTAATACATAGAAGCTTTGTTTCTAAGGAGTCAATTGTTTTGGACCCTTTTTATTTTTAAACTGTTAAAACATTTGGATGCCTTTTGTGGATAAAAGTAGTGCCTCTCTTTTTTTTTTTTTTTTTTTTCATTTGGTAGGGTTTTTAAAAATTGTATATAAGTTGATTTTTTTTGTAAATTCATTTTTAATGCTTGAATATTGAAAGAACATACATTACTAATTCTGTATATTTAAGAATCTTTTAGAAAATACTTTCTGATTTATATCTCAATATATGCTCTCTTCATTTGTCCAATATTTAAAATATGTAGTCTCTATTATTGCTATTTCCTAATAGCTTTTAGATTCCAATATGTATTAGAATTTTGGCTCTCAAAGTTGCAAGTAAAACTGAACAATTTCTTATTAAAATTATTGGGTTTTTATGTGTAATGTTAATACTTTAAGTAAAATTAGATGTGAAAATAGCAAAGGAATATATATGACTCAACTATTTTCTGTCAAAGTTTCTAAACATGATACTCTGTTTGCCATAATAAAAAAAGTTCATTCTGAAACCAAATTTGTTGAATTTAGTAAAAGGTATCTTTGAATCTTTTCTGTTTATAAGTCCCATACATCTTGGCATATATACTCATAAGTACAGTTTTATAAGAGATACACATGTGGCCACTATATATATATATATATGTGTGTGTGTGTATATATATATATCTTAGTGGAATAATAGTCCATATGCTGTGAACTTATAGTTTGAAATATTTCATAAACTACCCTCTCATAGTTTAAGTTAATAGCTTTGTAAGGCTATTGCAATTTCATTTTAATATTTTATAACTAGTATCTTTTTTTCACTTATGCCCTTTATGTTGACATCTGAGTCATATGTATAACTATGTGATTTTAGATTAAATATGTTCCTCCTGTAAGGAAAGTTACATCTTTGCAAAAACATAAATTTAATTTCAATAAATGCAAATATCTTTTAAGAGTTTATTACAAACTAGTTTACTTCAGATTTTGTAACTTTCAACATAGTTCTATCAAAAACCCAATACTCTATAGACAGTAATTTGAATTCACAGAAGAAATAAAGAATATGAGTAGGTAATTATGTATGTAGAAAAGATTGCAAAAAAAAAAAAAACCCAATACTTTCATATACCCTCCTTATTTTGTTTCTGTAATTAGATTCCTTTATTCATACATGAACTTTTTTCACACTTTTATAGAAATATAATTCATTTATAGTTCACCCACTTGAAAGTGTACAATGCAGTGGTTTTTAGTATGTTCACAGAGTTATGCAATTATCACAATCAATTTTAAGATGTTTTATCACCCCCAGAAGAAAGATCATACCCTTTGTCTACCACTCCATCCTCCTTAGCTTTATACAACTACTACTAATCTACATATTATCTCTGTATTTGCCTATTCTGGACATTTCATACAAATGCAATCATATAACAGATATTCTTTGTAACTGGCTTCGTTTTCCTATCCTAACATTTCCAAGGTTCATACACATTGTAGCATGTATCATTCCTTTTTAGTGCCAAATGACATTCCATTATATGAATGTACTGTTTTCTTTATCCATTCATCAGTTGATGAGCATTTTGAGTTGTTTCATGGAGACATATTTTTGTTCCTCTTGGATATATAAATGGGAGTAGAATCCCTGGGTCAAATTTTGAAGAACTGCCTGACTAGTTTCCAAACTGACTGTACCATTTTACAATCCCTCCAACAATGTATGAGAGTTCCCACTTCTCCACATCCTTGCCAACACTCTTTGCTCCTGATTTCAGCCATCCCATTGGGTAAGAAGTGGTATCTCATTATGGTCTGTTTGTTTTTGTTTTTTTTGTTTGTTTGGTTGGTTGGTTGGGGGGAACCAGGGATTAAACTCAGGTGCACTCAACCACTGAGCCACATCCCCAACCCTATTTTGTATTTTATTTAGAGACAGGGTCTCACTGAGTTGCTTAGTACCTCGCTTTGGCTGAGGCTGGCTTTGAGCTTGGGATCCTCTTGTCTCAGCCTCCCAAGCTGCTGGGATTACAGGCATGCACCATCACACCCTGCTCCCACTTTGGTTGTTTTTTTTTTTTTTTTAGTGGTTACTCTAGGGCTTGTCATATGCATCTTACTAATTACTTTAGATTTAT